TACAAAGTTAATAACTTAAAAGTTATTATTTTAGTATTTGGAACGTTTATGGTACTAACCAAAACTACCGTAAAGTAAATTAAGGTGGAAAAAGACTTTAATGTAGCGGCCATTTTTTACTGTACAGTACCACGTGGTAATGTAAATAATAAATTATTTTTATTGTTTGTAAATGGTTGTATACTTTTTAATAAATAGTAATTTTGTTGGTCATAGACGGTATTAATAATTAAATAAAAAATTAATAATAAATATTAAGATTTTTTTTATTTATAAACATTATTAAATAAATAATTTGTTTATACTTAAATATTGATGAAGCGCATTTATTTTACAAAAACTAAATTCATAAGTTCAACAGTAAAATTTAAAGGGTTTATAAATTTACCTGCCTAATTAAACATTATATTGTTATTCTGGAAGTTATAAACCACCAGTACATATTTAATAAACGACGACATTGAAAAGCCAAGTCCGTAGTGGTTCCATTTAAAAAAGGAGGGATAGTATAATCTAATATAAGTTTGACAAAGACAGTTAATATAGAAGTAAAAACAAGTAATTATAACGCTCTAGCAACGATATTGAAACGTTCTAGTAACGTAGCAGCTACGTTCCAAATAGTAGCAGGGTTTATAGCTAGTGACATATTTGTTACCTACCTTTTTGGAACACATTAATTGTTCCCCACTTTAGTCGTAACTTGGTAATGAAGGAGTAATATAAAGAGACCGGCGACTGTCGCAAAACACTTTAAAGTTTCTTCAATAGTCCCATATACGTAACAAATACTTAAATTGTTGTTTGGTGTGTCCGATTGTTATGCGGTTTGATGAAGGGTGATCTTCAAGGTATGTAAAATTCAGATATGTATTTGTTTTCGTAGATTTTACTTGTACAACAGGTTATAGTAACCGACAAGATCGGTCTGTTAAAATCGCATACTTTGAGTCGAGCTTTTAGAACAATGGAACTACAAAAACTGTAATGAATTGTAAGGCATCAGTTCAAGATCCGTTGAATAGCTTAGAGTTTTGTCTATCAAGCCATCAATAAATTATCTGCCCCAACTTGCCCCCGGCTCTTTAAAACTACATGTTCTTGGGCGCTCAGGCACGGTTGTGGTAAAAAAACCTCGCGATTTTAAGCCTAGGTCGAGCGCGTATCTGTGTTTTTGCTTTACAAAATATAAGATTTTTTTTATTTCTGAGTTGCGTGGTTATTTGTGTTGACATTTTTTTTAGCAAAACCAGTGACGGAGATTGTTTAATATATATGTGGGTATTAAATAATATCATATAAATGTAATTATAATAAACTAAATTAAGCTATTTTATAAAAAAATCTCTTATTTACATTTTAAAAAGAACCTCTTACTAGTTTTTAATTAATTTTGACAATTTTTTGATAAAATTGTCCGCCATTTGAGAACCACCATTTTGAATTTTGGAATTCTGATTCCAGATTTATTATCAGCGACCACAAAAACCCCTGTATGGTGATTTTCAATTTATTCCGTCAATTTTTTGACAAATATGTCCGCCATTTTGGATCTACCATTTAGAATTTTGAAATTCTGATTCCAGATTCGTTATCAGCGACCCCAAAAACCCCTGTTTGGTGATTTTCAATTTATTCCGTCAATTTTTTGACAAATATGTCCGCCATTTTGGATCTACCATTTTGAATTTTGGAATTCTGATTCCAGATTTGTTATCAGCGACCCCAAAAACCTCTTTATACAGATTTTCAGGAGAATCCGACTACTCCTTGATATTGAAACACTGTGGATCGTGACGTTATATTTTCTTTCCTATAGCCGTGTTTCTTTAACCCCAAAAATCAAATTAAACGAATTGTGATTGGTCAGTGAAAAAAGAGAGTGTGCTTAAACCACGCCTATCGCTTGCTATACGGCACGTTTTTGTACGTGTATGGGAAGTTAAATGTCCTGTCTATGTTTATCCTTATCCTTACTTACACTAAACAACACACTAGAGTCTTCTTCCTCCCAAAGTTGCTGCATGTAAAATGTTAAAAGGTGTAATAAACAAACAATATAAAAAGTAGATACCTAAGTAATGTAATTAGGTAAACAAAAATAAAAAAATGGCGGTTAAAAAAATCATAGTTTGCGACAAAAAATACTATTTTAAATATGTATCTATTTGACATTAAAAGAAATTGCTTCTCTACGCAATTTTAATCTACAATGTTATAAAAATCAGATTTGTGACAGAGTTTGTAGTTTGTTAATTTTATTTTGTAAAATTTTAACATAATTTTTTGTAGAAAACCAGAGTTTGTAATTATTTCAACAATATTTTACCGAAAGTTTTGTAAAGGTAATATGCAATTTTGTAAGCATTTTGTTAATTTTGTTAATGTTTAACAAATTATTTCGTTGATATCAAAACATTTTCCCACTGACAATACGCATCAACAAGTTCAACTGACTTCAGCGTCTGCAACTTATGTTTCTGCTTACTTTATTCTAATTCGTAACGTGTTTGTAACAGCTGTCCAGTGCGAAGTGCGAATTATCCGAAAAAATATGCCATCATGATTTCAGTTTTCAAACTGAAATACAGTGAAGTGGGTTAGAGTTACTAAATACATCAGTAAGTATTGTAGTAGTAATGATAATTATATTGTACCAAATTTCTTTATAATTTTATGATTTTAGAATAGTGTGTTATTTAATTGTGTGTATGTTATTTTTGTGTTCATTTATGTAGGTAGGTATGTGTTAATTTTTTTGTTTAGGAAATTGATTTATAAAGCAAAATTTCTTATCAAAATTTTCATTTAGGTTCCCAATTTCCAACAAATACTTTTGTTACTGGGTCTGTAAAAATAAGGTCTTTTTTGAAAATCACAAGAATTATGGTTGAATTATTGATGTAGGATTTTGTTATAAAATCTACAAATTGTTTGTTATAATTACAAACTACTTATTTAATTAGTTAACAGATTACAGTTGGTTGTAAACTTAACAAAAGGTTATGCGGACCTTGATTAACATAAAATCTGGTTAATATTTGATTAAAATTAACAAATATTTTTTACTTTTTATGGGAACATTTGATACAATTTTTATATGGAACACGGCCCTGCCTTATCTCGCGCCAAAAGTTAGTCGGACGCCAATATCGCGTTGCTCCGCACAAAGTATCGCTAGTTTATAGTTTTTTTTTATATTACCCTTGTATAATAATTATAAATATTCTTTTATTTTACCAAACCACCACCTTTCAGGCAATTCATTTGTAAGTTTTAGTAATACGGTAAGGGTCCGTCCATAAATGATGTCGCACTTTTTTTTGATACCTTGCAATACACCCCGATATCCAAAACACTATCAGTATCGGTCTCATATTTCGTGGTGTAGTACTCAAAATGTATCCAATCGATGGGCAATTTCTGTTTTCTGGAATAATTTTGCAAAACTCCCGTTAAAAACGATTGGGTGAAGTAAAATCCAGACAGCCAGAACACACTCGGAGGACCTTCTTCGATCCAATCTTCAAAAACTTTCAATCTAAAATGCAATTATAATGTAAAATACAAACAAAACTGGATATGTATGTGGATATCAACACTTTAAACTTTGTTACCTAGCTATTAGATCTGTAACATAAGATCCCAGTGGTTTAAGACTGGGATAACTTTTGCTCGCCCACGAAGCAGGCACTTTCCCAACAACTATAGCGTTCATTGTTTCTTCCAACTCCTTAGACATAACCACCACCCCTTTAACTGCCTTAATCAGATCCTTTAAAGTTCGTTTAACCACCACTATCAACCTATTGAATCGAATCAGCTCCTTAAAAGAAGAAATTGTTTGAGATTTCGGACCCAAAAAATACATGCGACCTACCTGTCTCAAAACTGTGTTCATCGAGTTGGTATACATGACGGGGTACTTTTGGCTTACCCCTTCAACGTCAAACGTATCTGGTACCTTATTCAGTATATCATTTGAAAGGTCTATGATCATTTCTTGATTGTCGTCACCTCCTCCACCAGCTGTTATTTGGGTTTGAGTTTGAAGGGCACCATAAAGTAACTAAAATGATAAATAGGTACAGTAGATGTTGTAGGTATAGTCAGTTAATTTTACAGAGTGTTTGTAAAGGTCTTTTAAAAGCTATTATAGCGGGAGCCGAGATATTAATCTCAAATAGAGCTGAAGTCATGTCCAACATCAGACATAATGCCATATTTGAAGAGTTAGCATCCAAAATGTTTTTGTGAAGACCTCATACAGACACTCTGAATAACACCCCGTACCATTGCAGTCTCCTGGTTATCTTTAGTAATGTCCGCGTTTTCGTGGAGCCCATAAACTTCTGGCATGGGTATTAAGGGTAAAGATTTGACATAACCAATTATACCAGCATAACTATCATCTCTGGGTAAGTAGTAAATTCCGCTTGGTGAAAAATCATATCTGAAATAAATTTTGTTGAGAAAAAAATGACGAAATTTATCAAGTTAATACTTTTTCTTATCCAAAACTCCAGGGTTATAAAAAATTGACAACAACGAGTTCAGTAATCGTCTATCTTTGTCGTCTGTGACTCTTCCACCATAATTACACTCTCCTGTGAGATATTCTAAAGCATCAAATGGTACAGCATGGTAATCGTTTAAAAACATCTAAAAGCAAATGTTTAAAATTTGTCATCGTGCCCCCATCATTTGTATACCTGCAGTTGTAACACCGATATCCTCAAATCTGACTCGTTAAACTCATAGGGGATATTCCAACCCAAAGGCCCGAACTTTTTCCGTTCTTGCACCACACCGTGAAAAAAACACAGAGCAAAGAGTAGCTTTCTAAAGGCGGTAGAGTTTGCGCATGAATTAAAAAACGTTTCGTCCGATATGGGATCGCTCATGTAGGATCTAAGCAAGTTTAAACGCAAGCCCTTTGGAGCTTCATTCGTCATTTTAACACCTAGAAAAATATACGTAAGAAACTACCAAGAGATTTTTCATTTATCACCGTTTTGTAAAATTGCCACTGGAAAAGCCCTGCTAGGGTAGCTGGTCAACCACAACCTAAAACTGGTGTTCGTATTTTCTGGAAGAATAACTTCATCGCATATCCGATCTAGCTCTCTCATCCAACTCTCCGCTAAATGACAGTTTTGTAGGACGGCCCATTGGCCTGTTACCATTCCTGTTTGTATCATGTTCGCTGCTATTGGGCCCTAAAAAAAAAACAAATAGCCTTTGGAGACGTCTCAGTTGAGGATTTCGGAGGGCGCCATAGTATAGGCAACTTGATACTGTGAACTGGACAATGATAACAAATAAATAAAACTAACTTGTCCTTGCCCCAACGAAATAGTCATAAGACTGGTCTTCGCTATGCCCTTGTCGGCTGCAAACTTAACCAAACCGGCCATAGGGTCAGATCCTGCGGATAAAATAAACACCAGCGGCGTGCAACAATTACTATCACTGTAGGATTCTTCCAAATTAAATTGCGGGGGTTCCAGATACGCTTGACCCATCTCTTCTACGATATACATCTAAAAAATAAGGTTTATTTGGAATATTGATTTTGTTATGTTAATAACTCACTTGAACTGCTGGGACTACTTTATCCGGTCTTAAACACTTGACCAATATTAATCGTAGCAAGCCGCGTAGTTCGTCCATGGGCGCAGGGCAGGGGATGTCTTGGGGGTTGGACACGTCGTAAAAAGCCTTCCATTCTTTGACATTCTTTTTAACGGACGTTTGAAAATTTTCCAGACCTTTTAGGTGGGATGCTCTAACAATCTCGGACCAAGATTTTTCCGACAGCCATTCAGAAGCGGGGTTTTCGTAAGGATTGTCCAAGGCTACGCCGCCGGTTAGGAAAAAGTTCCACACGTCTTCGTCAATTGAACCCTGAAAATATGACAACACTGAAATAATTACGTACGATTAAGTTTAACATTGACATTCTTAAGACCGTTATATCTATCTTTTAATTGGCTTACATGAGATCTGAGTATTCCCACAGACAAAATCAGCGAAAAAATCAGCTTATCCTTTTCAAAAAGACTCCTGCAAACATTCCGGTATATACTGTTGGTGAAATAGTTGTTTAAATAGCCCAGTCTTTCCTCCAATACTTCAGACTTCGTGCTGTTAGAGATTCCTTGATGGTACAGATTTATAAACCAACCCAGGGAGTACTGGTACATTGGATCGATGTTGGCTAAATCGGATAAACAGAAGAACAAAACAGCTGAATGTTTCGACACTGGAACGTACTGGTTTCGAGCGAAGTCGATTTCTTTCTCGGTTACCGCGGCTATTTTTTGCTTTTCTTCTATATCGGCAGATAGCACCTTACTGCTGGAAAGGATTTTAATTGCGGTTTCGTCCTCCAGGATGTTTCCTTGAGATGACGAGAGTACTTCCAGGATTTTGTCTTCTATCTCTTTAAGCATTTTTTTGTTGTTTGCGCCTTCCACTATCATTGCGTTCTTCTTTTCTTCCAGTTCCGGACGTTCTCTTGCCACTACTATGCCTGCAAAATATGTATAGTTTTTATACAATTTTTCCCTTCTTAAGCTAGCATATTTACCCAACAATTGATCTTGTAAGCCTTGCTGAGTGATCATGAAGTTCAAAAGTGACACTTTGACGGCTATTTCCGGCAAATAATGTGGATTCCTGAACCTCGTAGTGATGAAAAACCTGAAGTCGAAACTGTACTCCAGAACGTTATCGCCCAGTTTCAGGTACCAAACGCCAGTGGATTTGAAAATGTTCTTGGTCAAAATCGGGTCCAGCACGGCGTCAATTTCTTCGCCGATATTTTCCAGCATCACAGGGGTTCCGAACTGAACCGCGTTCTCCAAGACCCTCACGTAATTTGAGTCGGTCAGTTTGATGATGGTTAGACGGTTGTTTTTTTCAATGTTTTTTATCCATCTGTTTGCTTGGCCTGAAACATTTTGCAAGATGTTAGGATATGGTTGCCTGGAGGATGTTTTTTTAAATTAGCAACATTACTCTTTATATAAAATAATCTCCATAGGGAGCAATAATCTTTTAGGAGAAATAAAATGTTTGTCCTTAATTTTGGGTAATGCCCTGCATTTTTAATGGCAACCCTATGTTGGGAATTCTTATTTTTAAGGCTCCTTTACACTCTTAAAGAATTACCTTGAGGATCGATCATTAATGGCCATCTTCTCGCCTTAGTTGCTATTATACCATTTTCTACGCTGTACGTATCAATTGGTAACCCTGCAATGTTCCATGCTCGTATCAAGACGGGTTCACCCATTGTCGTAACTAGGGAAAAGTTAGTAGAACACGGTATACCCAGTTCGAGACAGTACTCGTTCCATCTTTTGGTCACCTCTTGTCTAAGAAAACGTTATTTGTTACATTATGTTTACAACAAACTATGTACCCTATTACCTGTAGTTTACAGTGAAAGGTCCCAGATATGCTATAACACCTGCACTCAAGATCACGTCGCCTATAACGTTACCAAGCAACTCTTGAAGTTGCCTGGCCATCTCTGACCATCTGGATTTTTCACCACCCAGGCCTCCTATCAACTTTTCGGCTCTGTCTAATTTTTGGGAACACAAGTTTATCATGTCCTCCAAGTCTTTTTTCTTCTTGGTTTCGGCTGCAAACTAAATAAATGAATGAGTTTTTAATATCGTTAGAATCAATCAATACAAAGTATTGGGCGGGCACCGTTCTAGAGTTACCTCATCGTTGAGAGCTTGCAGTTTGTCGGCAACTTCTTGAAGTTGCGCTCTTTTAGCATTAAGTGTGTCCATCTGGGCGGCTAATTCGCCTTCGGCTTCGGCCAAAGCAGCTTTTTTGGGTGCCACTATTTTAACAACCCGGTCATATACTTCCATGGCCAAAACCCATCTACAAAGACCTTCACAAGCAGTCGATACTGTATGGATTCGGTCCGGGTTAAACTCTCTGTCCTGCATATATCTAAAAGTATATTACGTTAACGAAACAAATTATGCGGTTGTTTATTTACTTTTCTCGAATTCTTTTCATGACAGGCGAAGGTATATTGTCCTTATCGTAAGTCTTAAGGCCTTCCAAAAATTTCATATCACCCAATAATTTTACAGATGTATCCCAATAATCTTCAATCATTCGTCCTGTTGAAGGGTCCGGCTTTCTTATTGGTTTAGCTTGTTTCATCACACAAACCTTAAAAAACAATCAGAAAAAATGCACAAAAGCATGAATAAAACGTTCTCACAGCTTCCATCACAAGTTTGACCCCAGACGGTGGGTTTTTCATGGATTTAACGACAGTTATATCAGCAGGCTTCAAAGTGTTTAAAGCGTCTAGTGCAGCTTCAAGAGCTGGGATAGCTTCGGATAAATCGGACTCGCAATCGTCTTTGATTGCTTGAGCCGCAGCGGCGGCTTCGTTGGCCAAAGCTTCGTCGGCACCTACGATCTAAACAAAAAACAATCAAGTTAATTTTGCCAATGTTAAGGATACTTACCTCTTTTTGTTTTTCCACAATAACCGTATCTTGCTCTATTTTAACCATCAATTTTTCAGTTATGCTTGAAGCTACAACCAGCTTTGGTTGTAAATCGTACAACTCTTGCTGCATCAGACCGACTTGGCTGGCTGCGAAATCCAATTTTTCCAAACCGACCTCGTATCGGTTTCTTAAAAGCGTTATTTGTTCGATTTTTAGGTAATACATGTTAATGAAAGTTTGTATAAGCTCCAAATATGATGTCGGGGTCACGTAAGTTTTACGTTTTTGTTCTCTGTAAAATATTTTTGATAAATCTTGTACTGACACGTGGAAATATTTGCATATTTTTGTGCATAGTTCAATCATGTCTAAAAAAGAAAGTACCTATAGGTCTATCCAGCAGGATGATAAATACAATACCTTGATTGAGGTTTGTTTTGGACAAAAACATGTTGGCAACACGTTGAAGAGCATCCTGCGGCCAATCCGTGAACCAGTCTATAGTACAGCAGTTTATAAGCGACGGAAACATTCTGCACCTAACACGGAAAGCGTCTCCTATAGGGCTCATGCATAGAGCTGTATGTAGACTGCTTTTAACGCGTTCTATAAAAAAGTTATAGAGCGCCAACGGTGTAAGGTCGATCTTTTTCCCCTGCAAGTTAAAATATCAGTAAACAATCTTACAGAGACTTTATTTCATCTAGGTACTGAGTCTCTTGATGCAGCTTGCATCTTGTCCAAGATTTCCGCCTTTTCATCGGGGGCATATAAATTTGGAACATCAGCTGTGTTAAGTACTGTGTTGATGTCTTCTATGAAGGATTCGTCCGCTACTTGAGTGTCAGCGAATAGAAACACTATAGGTTTGGCATCTATGCCAGCTTTAAGCAAAAGTCTTTTCAAGTCGTCTCGCCATTCACCCACTCCATAAGTCCGACTGATTTCAATCTTAAACAAAATGGTTTTAATTTATGTAAGCAAGATATGTAAAGAGTATAGTTACTTCAAATATGGCTATTTCTGACATTGAAGCGGCCAATTTTACTGCGCTGTGCCGACCTGAACCTCCGATCCCCACCAAAAGTACATTACCGTTGGGTTGGGTGAGCACTCTTGAGACTCTTGACACGTGTTCAATTGCGAATTGGAACATGACAAGGTTCATGGGGGATTTAGATACCACATTGTACTCTTTGAGGTAGTATACCATCTTTTCTGTCAAATCCTCCAAATCTAAAATCTGAAATCATAAGTTTTGTATTTTTTTATTTTTGCATCTGAGGGCAGTTTGTGGGCGCCGTTTTATTTTTGAATATTGAATGGCAGTAATGTAACTTACTTCATCATATATCTTTGGGTCTGCATCTGGTTCTATATAGTTTCCGTAAAATAAACCTCTAATATGTTGGGGGCCAATAATTTCATCTTCTTCCACAAGAACAGCGCAGACCTTGTTGAACTGTTGCCTAAACCCTTGATAGCAAGCATTCTTCACGATATCAAAAAACTGCAACCTGTCCGTATCATCGATAAGTCTATCATGAAAAACTCTGTATGACTCATGGATCCATAATCTTATAAATTTATCTGGATCTACCAGTCGAGTAGGTGGGGTGTTTAGAAGTCCGTAGATAACTCTAGCAAAGTCACGTAGTGAGAAAGTGTAGTGAGATTTCGTAGGTGTTGGTAGGAAATTTAAAGTGGCGGCCTTGTAGACCTCCATTGTGGCTTCAATGCAGAATTTCGTTAATCTTGAAACTTCTTCTTCAAAGCCTTTTTGGAAGTGCCACTCTAAAATAGTGACAAATATTTTCGTCAAAGTGCTATCATCGAAAGAATCCACTGTTACTATGAACATGTGGCGTAAAAATCGCTCTGTTACTTCGTTTCTACCGCCTCCTGGAACCCCCATTGCTCCTACGAAACTCTAAAAAAGGCTTTGTTTCAATACAAATTTTTGTCTGTCTGGTTCCCTAACTTTATCTGCCGTCTGGGCCCTAACCTTAACTATTTAACATTGTCTGTCTAGTCTTAAGTAAAAAATGTATATTGGACAAAACTAAATACCATGTCAACTAGTTGAAGCATAGCCGTGTCCTTATCGAACCAATGGCCATGATCCAACCATTGCCTAAGCAATTCAACTGGTGGTTGAGCCCCCCAAGCTTCCTTTTGAGGCATTCCAACATCATCCACAAACAATATGCACTTCCTACCCATTGGAGGGCCATATACACCACGCCTTCTTTTATCCAACTTGGACATAACGGTTTCTTGCGTCTACAAGATTTAACAAAAGTATGCCTTTTTATGATTATAAGTATAATTTTACCATTATAGACGAAGTTCTAGCGCTGAAATTGATCGGGTTAATTACATATTCCTCCTTTGGCAAGCTCAGTAAAGTGTCCATTACTACAGCTGATTTACCGGTGCCTGTTGGGCCAACAAATAATACTGGGCTATTTAATTTAAGGCACATTTTTAAGAAGAAGTTCATGTAGATGCTCTGCGTGGTCTGTATGATCAACTCGCTTGGCTATATCAAAATATTGTTAATTGCAATTAATAATTATTATACGTATTACAAGAGTTGCCTAGTGTGGCCTATTATTGAGATATAAGTATACCTTGGCATTAAGAGGAATGGTCTGCATTTTCTCGACCATATCCGTCCACAAAATCCACGAGCCATTATTCTTGTTAGGGTCCCAATAATAATCGAATATGGTAAACCTATCCGGGAACAATTGGGCTTTCGTAACAGTAACAGATTTTGGTCTGGGGAACTCCTTGTTTTCACCGTTAACGAATTTTCGGAACCATGCGTCAAAAACAATGCGACCTTCACCGTTCAAAGTACCTGAAGTGGTCCAGATGTGGACCACTATAAGAAGTATTTGTATTGAGATCGTGCTCAATGATTTTTGCTTCATCACTTCGTGTTTATACATTTTCATTCCGGACTAAAACAAATGTATATTAAACATGACCATCGCCTTAAGAACCTCAAACATACCAAATAAAAGTAGTTATTATTTATGGTAACCATACTCTTGCAATGTTTTTTGATGAATTCGTACGAGGCGGGAGCCATCCATTGCACCAATTCGTCTATAATTTGCACTTGTTCTTTTAACAATACCGTCGAGTAAATGTTTAAGGCGGTTTGATGAAACGACTCCCATCCCAGCAGGTGAGGTTCCATGTATATCATCCCACATCTGGATACGGTGGCTGGAGAAGCCTGCTCCAAGTCAGCCGGTTCAAATATCAAGTTCATTTGGTTTGTCATCTATAAAAATATGCCCATTATGTAATTTTTTTAATCTGGTAACGTTTTTCAATATTTCTGAGAAAAATTTTATACTTTCAAATGTACCTGGATTATCTCTCCTGACATGAGACACAATTTCTTGTTATCGTCCAAAACAGTGTTCATATTTTCAATCCAGACAGCATCAACGGGTCCATCGAACAAAATCCATTTTCTATCAGGGGATGGATTGTTCGCGAATTCTCTGAAAGTATTGGCCAACACGCCGTCCGACCATTCGTGGGAAGCTGGGTCAAACTGCCCATACAATTGACCCATTGTTATGGCTTTAGGGTTAATGATTCTGTACATTGTGTGGTTCTCTTTAAGCTTGGCTTCTGGTCGATCGCAGAGTTTGCCCAGTGCTTCACCCAAACACTAGGTACATAAAATGCTATTATATCCAAAATAATTCTTTACTATTAGTACGATTACCTGATACGCCTGCGTTTTCCCTCCTAAAGGCCTCCCAACCACCATGAGGCCGTGTCTTACTAAAATCATTTCGTATATCTGCATAACTTTTTCGATGAACCATGGAGACCCATATAGCTGTCTTTCTTCTATGGTTTCTTTAAGACATTCTATTAACTCGGCTCTTTCAAACGTTGGTAGGTCAACTCCGGGAAACAGATCGGAAAATATGCCTTCGAATAGAGGAACATCCTAAAAATAACAAATTAATATAAGTATTTTTCCTCAATTTTATTTTACCTGTGCCAAAAATTTGGGCAAGTTAACATCGATGATAGCCCTTAAAACTAGCTGAGGTTCCGAACTTTCGGGGTAGTTTCTTTTAAGCGCACCGGCAGCCAGTAATACTGACTTTACCGCCCTCATGCCGTAATCGTAATGATTTTGCGACGACAGTTGTTCGGAGCACAGTTTGTAGGTGTGGACGATCTTCTGAGACAAACTACAAAAGTTAAGGTGAAGTAAAGACAAATGTATTTTTAGTAGGTCTTACCTACTAGCTTGCGTAAAACCATACGAAAACAAAGATATTTCACCGATCATAGCATAATCTGGAACCATCATAGCTACAGTTCTAAAGAGAACCTTAAGATTGTCGGGTAATTCTTGTCGACCTGCATATCTGAAACACGCATAAAATATTATTAAACATTATTAATATACAATAAAAATACCCTGGATTCATCGTGATAAACACAGTACATGTTGGATCTAAAGTCAACTCAGTCCCTTCGAAGACAAACTTTTTAAGTTTTGATGCTATGGCGACTTGTATGCATGATATTTGCTGAGCCACCACTGATAACACTTCCAGTTCTATTCGATTGAATTCGTCAAAACACGCCCATGCGCCAGCCTGAGCCAAACCCTATTGACAAGATTGATAGGGTCTCGTTAGAACCATATTAAATTTAATTACCTTGAAAAATTTTCCCAAGGCTTTATAATCAAGCCCGTCCGAGCAGTTGAAAACCACGCATTTTTTCGCTACTGCTTTTGCAAGATCTTTGCAGGTTTCTGTTTTACCAGTTCCTGCTGGACCCTCTGGTGCTCCACCTAGGTTTAATTTTAATGCACCCATTAAGGTTCTAAAAACATTCAAGTACATTTGGTTATTATCTGCCAATTTATAGATTGTCGACATATATATTTTTTTGTAAATGTGGGTATGTTATTGGGTATTGTTAAGTATTACCTATAACATCTATCGGTAAGAGATGTAGCCACCAGTCTACCAGTATTTCCCAAGTATTCCATCCCATACATGACCTCTGTTGTTATCATGCACACAGTAACAGATTTTTCTTCTTCAAGCCAATAGTATCTTAGTTGAGAAATCCAGTTAAAGTCTATGGTGGAATGGACTTGTTGGGCTTTCAACATTTTAACAATATCCCTTCCTAAAGGACCAAAAATATTATTACATAGGTATTTTAAATGATTTGGTATCATACCATGGACGTCTATGACTATAAGAGCCTCGACTGTAACTTGATTTCCAGGTTCTAATTTACCCTGTACCATTTTAACGCTGACTTCGATTTGTTCGGAGCATTTTTTTTCTTGTTCTTCTAACCTCATTGATGATATCGACTCTGTTACGTCTTTAGTCCAAAAAATACAGTTTACGCACTGGACAATCTGTAAATATAAATTTTAATATTAAGTATATAAACGATTAACCTAATATAAATGACTAAACTAAGGTAAGAAAACTAAGGAAGCTAATACCTGTCCTGGCCAGGATACAATCCATTCAGCCCTATCACTTTTAGTGTAAGATTTAATTGAAGCACTGGTAACATCTTTCATCGATTCTATCATAACTTCTTCAACTTGAACAAGCCATTTTTCCACCATACCCTAAAAAAACTCATTTTATGACACTCAAACATTTAAAGGAGTGTTATGCGTACTTTAGCCTCTGCAGGGAATATTTTGGTAGAGAACGGTACGATTTCTTTCTCAGCACTTATCATGCCAAGTACTTGGTCATCACTAAAGTCCAAAAGGTAGATACCCTCAAAACATTTTTTCAAATGCGGCTGCACTCTTTGAGCGTCCTTGGTCTCTGATAGAATCTCCAATAGCTCGTCATTCGACAAGAAGAAGAATCTTGGAAAGAACAATCTCTTTTTCTCCAAATACTCGTTAAGTCCTTTCAAAATTTCTTCAAGTAGTCTGTTGTTTTCCCTCAAAAGAAACAGCATGTTTTTATATTCGGTCGCCACTAAAACCCTTGTATCCAGAATGGTGTTTGCTTGGATGGATCTCCAAACTTTGTCGACGGTTTTAAAATTTCTCGCTTCTGTGGGCATTTGCCTCATGATATCTTCCGAACTGAATATGGGTTCTAGGTACATCCAAGTGGCTTGGTTCTGCAACAAAAATATTGTAGGGTTTTGAACGCAAGCGTGGTATAAAAACTTTAAAAGTGTGCCATTGGTTTGCCTAACTACTTACAACAAGCCAGGCATCCAGAATATCCTGCATGGAAAGCAACTTTTCTTCCCAGGCCTGCATTTCGCGTTCAAAAGCTTTTACATAAGGCGAACTTCGCATGGTTTGTGCTCTTAGAATGTTATCATCCATCATAACCTGGATATCGTCCACCGCTGATAGTATATGAACACCAGTTTCCCTAAAATAGAACGCCAAAAATGAGTATTATCATTACTATTACATCAGTTATTAACATACCTATAAGGTACACATTCAAATCGGACATCACTCCACTCTTCCTTCATCTTGGCCAAGTTCCTTTCCAATGCGTACTCTTTGGTAGCTGACGCACTGATTTCTTCCAATTGGGCTGCAAATTTAGGCAAGCCAGCTTCAATCATATCGTTTAGAGTTGATTCTGGGGTTACATTAAGTTTAACCCCTCCTATTTGGCTGATCTAAAATTTAAATAAAAAAACCATGTAAAACATTTAAAAACCACTCCATTACCATATCCCAATGTCGTTTCTGTAAACCTTTGTTACAGACTGTAGCAAGAACAGGCAAGAATTGCTTGAATTTTTCTACTTTAGCTCGAACCATTTCAGCGATACGTTTGGCCCCTGGGTTGTCTGAAAAAACTTTGGCTAGCTTATATAGAATCCTCCATGTGTTCTCCACGTTTTCTGTTATCTCGTCTGCGTCTAGCCCCAAGAAAGGTCCATAGTACCTTTTAAAAGAAAATACACTTTAGGAAATAAAAGGTCTCCCTGTATATACCATATATCATAATTGTTGTGGAAGTCCAGCACGGTATGCCATAGCTTGTCGTATGGTTCGACCATTGCGAGCATTTTGTATAGATTCATAAATGGAGATGGGTCCAAGTCCAACAACTGCTCCTCAGCGTTTATCTGGTCTGCTTCCTCTTTGTCAGCCTAAAACAACATACAAAATCTTCCTTGGTTTTAACTACTAATACTAGTATAGTATTACCTGTAACTTTTCGACGATATCTTCCACTGTATTGACGCAGTCCTCCATTTCCTCCTGAGACAGAACAGCAGGATCTCTTTTCTTGAACGCGACAAGCATTTTTTCGTGCCTCAGTAACGTTTGATCGAAGTGCTGACGTTTGTTCCTCAGATTTACTTCGGCTTGTTCGCGTTTCAAATTCAATCTTTGTATTGCCAACTCTATTATTGATTCCATGTCTTTTGGCCATAAGAAAGTCCTGCTGTTCAATGTTATATCCTCGTCTGTAATAAATATTTTTATTTTACATACATGTTATACTTCCTTTTGTTAAAACATATACGAGTAGTCTGGGTTATGTTTGTAGACCTGTTTTATTAATAATAATAATTACCGCTTAGTAGGGCAAATTTCATTAGAAATAGTATCAACTCGGTCTGATTTCTTATTTGTTCTCTAATGTTATACATCGTGACATCTCGGCATTCTACTACGTAGTTTTGAAGTTCCACCAATTCGGCTACGCTTTCGGGAGATTGGCCCAGCTTTTGGCACATATCATCAAAAGTAAGGCATATTCTGAAACATATTTTATACAGTGCCGAACAATAGGCTTTCTACTAAACGTGTGGTGCCGAAAATTGTGCTTTTTATTTCAAGTGTGCCTCCAGTCTTTTGGACCCGATCTGGACGGTAGATGGCGCCACATGGCTACCCGGCACTGATGAGTTCCAAAAGACCGAAACACGGCGAAAAGTTAAAAGGCGATTTTATGGAATTTAAAAAGGTGTAAGTACTGCCTGTTTATCTTCCTATTTTCTTTCGCAAAATAATCCAAAATATACAGCCTACATTCATCAACTTTATTGTATAAAGTTTCATTTAGTTCTGAACAATCCAAACATAGGAAATTTAAGGGTATCAATATTCTTAAATCTATTATTTCATTCTTTAATTCCTGGTAATGGTTTATAAGTTTACCAAAATCCTAAAAGTTTTTTTAATTAGGTCCAGGTTGCAAACCATAATGTTTATGGTATAGTACTGTTAAATATGGAAAAGGCTCCAATTCGAAAAATTCCAGCAAATCTTTTTTGATGGTGCCATTCAGAATATACATATACTTTTTGTATATTTTTAAGTAAATCATTGGCCCATTAACGTTTTTTTGAAAAATCTCGTCTGTATTTTGTCTCATTTTGCTTACGTATTCATCATTTGCGTCAATTGATATCACGAAAGTTTCTTCATAGACAAATTCTGTGAAAAAATATATTTTTTATAAATAAATATTTTGTTATTTAACATATCTCACCAGGAAACATCATATTTTCTATCCGAGGTATTTTTTTCTTAATATTCAAAATATCGTTAAAAATGCTTTGAACCATCCGTCCTAACTCGGTCAAATCTGGACGAATCGTGATTTCATCTTCGTCAGGAACTGCGTAAACTATTATAAAAGGGATTGCGATTATTTGACCATCTACATATTTATCACCATAATCATTTCCTTCCTATAACCGTTTTTTTTAATATATCGTATACAAATGTATTCGACAAAAGACTCACAACAAATCGGTTAATAAGACTGGTAAAATGCTGCAAACTCCTCACAATCATAGATCTGATTTGCAGACCAAGTAACGTGTTGACACAATTGAAAAATCCTCTAATTATTTTGACCGACTGTCCTTTTTCCCTGGGGATGTACTGTTTCCACAGTGCCTTGTTTTCCAAAAAAATATCGCAACACATAGGGAACCATTCTTCGAGGATCAGTTCTCTGGCGTTGTTACATAGAATGCCTATTTCCTCTCTGAGCTTGTTAGGGTCAATAGGGAATACGAGGTTTTCTAGGTATTCTGTGGGGACGATTAGATGGTCATCAAAACTAAAATTGTTGTTTATAGTTATAACAAAGTTAAATAAAATAGTTTACAATCACTTTTCGAACCAGGCATCCCTGATTTTGATAATAATCGAGTTACCAATGAAGTAAAACCGTTCTACGCTCTGCCTTCCAACACAGAATTGGTTATGCCAAGGTATTGGAGCTCTTATCAGCATACAACCTGGATATGTTTTTGGAAATGTATCAAAATTAAGCCGATCCCATTCGAATGGATCTTTTAAAACGTAATTCAATAAAAATCGTCTCATAAACTCGCAGTACAGTTTTTGAACTTCCTTCTCTGAATGGGACATCATTTGCTTGAAGTCTCGGAGAATTTTGTATTTTTCTGGAATTTTTTGTTTCGCACAATTGAGCCATTCCATGTGGTAGGGCTCTATGTGTTTGTTGTCTATACCCTTTGGAAAAAAAAAACTTTAGAGCCGTTCAGAGAAGCTAAGAGTTCCTACTAACCTTGGTTAAATAATAATACATTCTTTTGATATCATTTGGTCTTATGTATTCATTCATCTCTTCTTCAGCTTGTTGGATGAGGAATCTTTTTTGCTCTCCTGGTTTCAATGGTAAAACTGCTTCCAGTTTTTCCAGTTCTCTAAAAATTATATATCTAAATAAAATTTAAACAGAAACCTTCGAGAGGTCTGTTTCTAGGTATAGTAAAATTTGGAAGACAAGTTAATTAAAAAACAGTATGTACTTTGGATCATCAGGAAATCCATTTTTTTCCGCATCATCTATAGCTTTTAATTTTCTTCTCATTGCACGTTGTCGCTCTTTTTTTTCCTCTTCTTGTTTTTTCTCTTCATAGTATTGCCTTGTCAGTAGAACACCCAATGGAATGATCCCTGGTATTTTTCTTTTTCGTTTTTGTTCCTTTCTTCGACGTTCCTCCTCTTCTTGCTCTTCTTGATAACGACTTTTTTCTGGGGGAAACGCCAGTTTTCCTAAAAATAATATTGACTTAAAATATTTTAATATAAACATTGCAAAAAAACAACAAAAATATTTTAATACAGATTTATTAGAAAACCTATCACATTTTATATTATTTACCGTCCGGGCCAAAAAAACTAGTTTTAGCTTTTTTTGGGGGAGCTAAGTCTTGGATTCTTAGATCTTGACCAGTGGGGCAAAAAGCAGCACCTAAAAATAATAAAATAAGATTATAAAAATGGTTTCGAGATAGTTTTATAACTTTATAGAAATTTCTTCCCTCATATTTTTAATCATAACAAACTTTACCTATGGTTTCTGTAGGTTTAAAATACATTTGTGTATCCTTAGTAGGTACGCTCTTTGTCCAAGATTTATCCTCAAATAAAGGTGGATAATCCAACTCCATGTGAACCCTGGTTAAAAATTCGGAAACCTGAGAATCTCTTTTAGGTCCCGCTTCTGGGATATATGGCATCGTAGGCACAATCCTTCTTCCATATTTGTTACTTCGTATCTTTCTGTCTTCCATTTTTATGTAATTTTTGACGAAATACTTTTATTTACAGATTAAAATGTTGTCATTGTTGACATTGACAACGTCACTAAACCTTAACAGTTGTTAGCGGTTGCTTGGTGACCAATGTTTTGTCAATATGAGGTCAACAGGTGTTTTGAGACATAATAGTTGCCCATTTGGGAATTTTCTTATGTGTAGTGTCATAAATGAAATAGTTTTTTGTATACAAACATTTTAAAGTAGTAATGAATAGAAAACAACCCAGATTCCCTTATTTAAAAACCAATACGAAATTTAAGCAATTTGGTGTGCAATGTGAAATCAATAAAAGCAACCCTGATATTTCAGAAGCGGATATATTTTTAAACGATGAAATTAGGGAGATTTACATGAAAGCTGTACGATTTATAAATAAAGTCCACACGCATATGAATAATGTGTTGAATCAAAAATGTATACAGGGAGGTGAAGATAAGGATGTTTTATTTAGAATGCCAGAAATACAAAATTATTTGCCTCTCTATAAGTTTTTTTTGGATAACTTGAAAGAAGATTCAAAAATACAAGAAAATAATGACAAATGCTTCAAAGATCTCGTGGAAAAGTTATCCAACACAAGTATCATAGAGTTTGTTCCTGAGATTAAACAGTTGAAAGAGTATAAGGAATTGGAGAAAAAATTAAGCACACATTCAAAGAATGTCCAGACAGACTTCATAATGAAATTTTCCAATGAAAGTGATAAGGAAGAGCAAGGTAATTCTTTCCACACACGATCGATGGGACTCATGTCTGGACTACATGGGGGCCAGTCTCTTTTTTGTTCTTTGTTTGTTAAACACACCTCGTATTTATCTAACACCACATTTATTTAGATGACTGCGAAGTAGAAGAGGCATCCTTACCATCAACCTCAAATTTGGACGTTAATAAGGAAGACCTGGAAAATTGTTTTATTAACATTCCAGAAAAGTTGAAAGAGCTTGACGAAGCTAATTCCGAGAATCGGTCTATGATGGCTGACTTGATAAAGGAGCAAGTCAGGGAGCAATTTGAAGATCTAATTTTGAAGTCTAAGAAAAATGTGCAGATGGATACAGAAAAAACTTTATCGAGGATTATAATTAGCCAAGTAAATATACCTGGGAAGACTAGTACGCAGTTTAGTTGCTTGAAACAGGTTTGTGGTTCAGGCAGTACTTCTAAAGAAGAAAACAATTAGTTTTATGATAATGTTTTAGTCGGGACCTGTACATTTTAAGAATACATTTAATAACGTCGATGTGGATATTTTGGATGATAACAACAGTATTATTTTGGATGATGAAGAGTTTGAAAGATTGAAAGAAAAATCTTTGAAAGAACAGAAAAAGGTGTACAGAAAAGTTGAACCTGTAATACGTAAGAAAATGTGTCACAACTATTTATTCAGCATACTTATTACATTTTTAAAACTTCTTTTCGTTTAGGCAAACCGATCTTTAACTGTCCCCTGAAACTGAACCAAAAGGACATGCCTATGGTGAACAAAGACATCCTTTCCGCTATCGGGATTTTTAATGACCAAGGAGAAATCCGGCCTGATATAATGGAAATGATGGAGAAGGGAAAGGAGAAGAATCTGAACAACATGAGGAATAAAATATTTAGGGAGAAAAGAAAGTGTAACCCCGCACAGGAAATTTTTTCAACGGCCTTAATGAGTACCAGCGCATTATCGTTAAATTCTGATTCTTCGGATATTAAGTCTGATTCTGAGCTGGAAATGATGGAAAATGAGATCAATAGGAGAATATTGAAATAATTTAAACATAATTATTAGGGTTATAAATAAAATTACAAAATTATTTACATTGTTTTATTTGTTATTTGGCATCATATCGTTCACTTTCTAACAATGATGGTGATGGTGGTGATGTCCGTAATGTGGAGGTGGAGGCGGTGGGTAGTCATGGTGATGGTGATGGTGATGCTCCTGAGGCGAAGGTGGGGGCGGGTAATACACCGGCGGGGGAGGGGGAGGTGGAGTGTGGTGATGGTGATGTGGATGCACAATGTTGTGTATTAGGTCCCCTATGATGCTGTGGTGGTGATGGGGCGGCGGAGGCGGTCCGTGGTGATGGTGGTGATCGTGATGACCGTGGTGGTGTCCCATTGTTATGCCTGTATATTAAAATTTATTAAAATAAGTTCTTATCTTCTTTACCCAGAGAACCATATGGTTTGGGAAAGAAATTTGTCTTTTTCCCAACTAAGTTTGATGTACTATATTTCACATTTATTGAGGTTTATTTGGACATATAAATTGTGTTTTCATTAAGTATTTTATGCCAATCATTTCCCAATGCGATAGCACAAAAACTGCATCAAAATAAAGACTTAAGTAGAGATATTTTTGGCCAACTTCGTTTGTAATGAAGTAGGATTCTTCATAAAAAACAATATTTTTTTCCAATTTTTATTATTTAGGTAAATCATTTATTTTTTTTTGTTTTGTCAACAAATTTTTATTTTATTAAATATTGTTGTGCCTGTATTTGTCAACTTCTTTCAAGTATAATAAAATTTGTAAATACTAATTTGTTCAAATATTTACCAATATCATGTCATTGGTAAATTTTTCAAAAGACGAATATTTGTCCAAATAAACATTAAAAAATTGTCATCGTTTTTCCATTCCCAAAATTAAACCAACGGTAACCTGCCTAACTTAATCCAAACTGCCTTTGCATATTATTGCAATTGCAAGTGATCATTTATTGTTGGCCATCGCGATTGCACAAAAACCATAGGAATATAATACAAAATTATTGTACATTTATTGGCAAATCTTTTCCAAAGGTAAAAGGACAATTCTTGGCCAAGTTATAACCTGATATGGCTCTCTGGGTACATCTAAGAACTAATAACTAAATAATTTAACTTACCTACTTGGATTGTAAATCAAAATTCGTAACACTTATAATAATTCCTTGAATGGTTTCAAATACAATTCTATGACAACTTTTTAATTTAAACAATCACACATCAATATAAAGGCTTGTCAAGTGTTTATACTGATAAATTATAAATGCATATCCATTATGATAAGGTTTTTGTTATTTCGTTATTTAAATTATTTTGGTTTTACCTAGGTGATTCATAAATGCATTTGCATTTGTAAATTTTTACAGGCCCGTTTTTATTTTTAACGGTTTTCTGATTAACGCTATTTTGTTGTAACATGTCCATTGGGCATTGTCCAATGTAAATCAAGCGGACATGTTTCAATACTTTAAAAATTGTCGAATTCGCCGAAATTAATGTAAAAAAGGAAATCTTTAATTTAAATAAGAACACAATTTTATTATAAACTTCAGTACTGTCGATACCGGCGAAGCGAGCGGATGTGTAGTTCGAGAGCTCGGTGCCGATCCACAATAAAATTCTTAAAGAAACATAACTATTATATACAGTGTAGTCGAGTAAAGTACGGTGCGAAACAGTGCTACTATTTGGGTTACTATAGTATGTATACATAACGGTACAGGTGAAATCAGGGTACCTGTTCTCCGAGGGGTTAATAGAAACATTAAATAATTCCTCAAAAGGCAATCTCTCAACGGTGAACATAGGAGTGAGGTTCGTGCGGACACGAAGTAATAAAGTGACAGGGGACAGGTCAAGGAATCACCTATTTAAAGAAAAAACAAGTCTAACAAAGAGCGAAAGGGATCATCACCATCACCATCACCAGCCGACTCTGATAAGTATTATTGCATGACCTAATACGCAAATCTGTAAAAAAAAACTGGCAACAATTAACCATTCCCGAAAACAGCGTACGTGTGCGAAAAGGAATCAAGCAGGAACGTCGCAATATTATATTATTGTATTATATATATTGTATAATATACGCGACTTGCAATTCAGCCACAAGGCAAAGCTTGAAGGAAGGTAAATAAACAAAGCGCCCACGCAATAACATAACGTAAATAAACCATCTATTGAAGCATACGTTACACGCCTGACACCGGGGCCGTTTCAGATTTTAATGCGATGCACCACAGGGCCGGCTATTTATTTTGTATTAAGCTAGTTTTAAATTAAATTTGAAAAAAAAGTATTTGTCACCATTAACATTGCCCGTATTAATTTTATTAAACATAACATTTATTTTACTTGAAATGTTAAAATAACTTTAAAATATGATTATGTTAAGAACATATTTTACTCTTTAAATAATTGTTTTGTTTTTAATTACTATCATTGCAAAATTGTATTAAAAAGTGTTAAAAATTCTTACACGGGCAATGTTAATGGTGATAGGTATCGTTAAAGTGTTTATTGGGATATCTTTAAAACCTATGAAGGGCACGCGGTGTGGGGCAATAAGTCTGTCAACAGCAAATGCGTAAGGCGGTCCCAATCGAGACCGAAAATAAACACTGGACTGACAGAGTAAACTAACATTGATCACATAATTCTAACACATTAAAAAAAAGGGCCTAATAGCCAAACTCGAGATTCGTAAACATTAGACAACAGAATAATCGCGCTTGTGATTTGTTTGACTAGTGAATAAATGCAATGCTTTGGAATTTGATAAACAAAGACGGAACTCTACCACAAAACGTGCTTGGGACAAAAATTATTAAAAACAACTGACACACTTTACCAAGGGCAGGAACTATCTGACCAGGACAAGGACAATGACAATAACGAACAAGACAAAGACCTCGACTAGAAGACTACACCCCTGCAGCGAAATAACAACTCCCCAACTCCAAATAGTAATCCCAAATGTTTGGAGTAATACTAATCGACTGGTCCAGGGGGATTCCGCGTCGTACTTAGTTTTAAGTCGGCGTAATTGTCCCCCAAAAACCAACACCCTCCCGTCCCTCCTCCATACCCCACTGAGCGTATAGCATAGGCTCGGCGAACCCGGGAATGGCTATTATAACTATTCGCCTCTCGCTCTCGAGCCCCAAATAGGGGACAGTACGGAACGCAATGGACATTCGCACCCAGCAAACACGGGTGAAGCCGTGCAGTTGCTGGGGAAGAACAAAAATCGGCGTAAGTAAACATAGGCCTGTACGGGGTTCGAGAGTCAAGAGGAAATGGGGCTGGTTATACGTCTCTTATACTCATACTCATACTCAACACAATTTTATTATAAACTTTTATTTACTTATACACATAAAAAAAATAATATCATGATATACTGCAGTAACTAATTACTACTGAATATCATCCTTTAAAAGTGATATTTTTAGTCAATTTAAAGGAAACTCCATCCTCTATCATCCTACCAACAAGCCTTGCAGTATTCCTCGCGTCATGCAATCCACAATGTTGGGTACCTTCAAACTGCAGTCCAAACTCGCTCAACGTGTCCAAAAGACCTTTGGGCCAATGTCCATAGCGGTTGTTATAGAGTGCTCTAAGATCTATCCACTTGGAGAAATATTTTGGTCTCTTTATTTGCTTTCTTTTACATTCCTTAAACAAACAGGTGCCGAGGTCCCAGTTAGACCAAGTACAAAAACCAGTATACATAAGATTTTCCCTCTTTTCGAAAGAGAGCTTGTGTTTTTCTATAAGTTTATTCAGCCATTCGTCGAAGAGCACAAGGCACGTTTTCAGAGGTACCCCATTGTCGACTTGAAGCTGCTCAATGCCTGTTAAGTCTGTGCAATATGGAGTCAACTCGGGTTTCTCGGATGGCCTGACGTACTGTTGAAACTCATCGATTATTTTACTGTTTTTTACATCATATAACACACATGGAAACTCTATTACTTCTGGTGGCGCCCTTCTGGGGTCTCCTTTCTTCCAACAGGTTGCTTCGAAGTCCAAAACAAGGAAATATTCAAATGTTTGGTTTGCCATCCTCACTAAGCAAAATAGAAAATTATATTTGTATTTGTAGGGTTTAGTATAAGTGAATGTTTTTTATACATACCTAAAATCAATAATTGGGTACTTATATATAAGGTTTATCTAATTTAGCGGAATTAAGCATTTGTTTTTTTATTATAAAAAGGTTTTTTGTTTGATTCAGTTTAATAGACAAGATAAAGATGATAAAAAACTCTCATAACGGGAAAATGGATGGAGGAAGCGTTACCGTATACGGTTTATAAATGTTATGGATCGATCATTTCACCAAAATGGTGCCCATTTAAACGATATTTTGTAAAAATAAAATCCATTGCATATTGTACAAAGTATTTATTTCCAAAACCTACACAACTTTTTTCATTTAATGGTGGTGTTTGTTATGTTCCTTATGGTGTTTATTATGATGTTCATCATGATGATTTGCCTCATGGTGGGGCGGTTGTGAATGGTGATGGTGATCATCCTTGTGTCCATGGTGATTTTCGTGGTGTTTTTCTTGGTGATGATCTCCATGTTCATTATGGTCATGGTGAGGGGGTGGGTGGGAGCCGTGGTGACTCATAGTTACTAATATAAAAACTAAAAAATATGTATTTTTTATTTGAATTTGATTTTGTTGGCATCCTGTTTTATGCTACAATTTGATTTTAAACGACAAAATTATGGCACGCTGTTTTAACATTTGTGAAATAATTTTTAATTTAAAATTTTATTGGTTTAACTAAAAATTTTAGGTTTACATTTATAAATTTAAAATATTTTTAAACTATCATGTATTAAACAGTTTTAAACAGTTCACTTCTGTATTAATATTATTTCCAATCAATTTTGTAATAAAAATAATTTCTTAATTATAATTTTGGCAGAATTTTGTAAATCCTAAATCATTTTTTTATAAAATTATTTAGATTAAATTGCTAAAGTTAAGTTTTTTAGTATTTAAAATTAGTGTCGGGACATTTAAAATAAAAACACATATAAAACATTTTCTACCAAAATAGTTTAAAAAGTTATTTTTTTTAATCTTAAAAACAATTGATAATCAAAAAATATTTTAAATATAAAATGCAAATGTAAAAGTTTAAGTTTAAAATATTGGATTTTAATAATTATAGTTTTAATATTTTATCTTACAAAATTATTGGTTTAAATTAGTAAAGTCATTTAAATGATAGTCGATAAATTTTTAATACTAAAATTCTCACATTACATTTAAATGTTTAAATGTAATTTTTGGATTAAAAATTTATCGACTCTTGAGAAATTTAAACGAAAAATTTTTATTTTTAACAAATTTAAATTGATACATTTTTAACACAAACATATTAACATTAAATTTAATTTTAATTCACAAAGTGTAAACTCTGCTTTAGCCGTCTGCTAAAGCTACGTTTACACACTTTATCGATTTACATTTAAATGTAAAGTTATAAATGTATCTATCAATTTAAAATTGTTAAAAATAAAAAGTTTTGGTTTGAATGTGTAAAGTCATTTAAATGATAAATTTTTAATCCAAAAATTACCACTTTAAAATTTAAAACTTACATTAAATGTAATGTGAGAATTTTTGTATTAAAACTTTATCGACCATCATTTAAAAGATCTTTACAAATTTAAACCAAAAATTTTGTAGAATAAAATATTTGACCTAAAATTCCTAAAAATCAATATTTTTAAGCTTTAATTTTACAGTTTACAGTATTTTATATTTAACAAAATTGTTGACTATCAATTGTTTTGAGTTTAACTTTGTAAATTTCTGTTATAACATTATTAAAGTGCTAAACTTTATCTAATAAATGCTAAAACAGTGAAATGCATATGTATTAGGGGTGTGCAAATAATTCCAACTTACGAATTATTCGTTCCGAATCGAATATTAATATTCGATTCGAAACTCGAATCGAATAATTCGAAAATTCGAATTATTCGAAAGTTCCCGAATAATTCGAAAAAATTCGGATAATTCGAAAATTTTCGAATAATTAGATTTTTTTTCGAATAATTAGAAATTTTTCGTAAACTATTATATTATTAGCGAATTTTCGAGTATTTTGAATTCAGGGTTTCTTATGTTCAATATTCAAATATGAATTTAACAGTCAATATACATTTTATTCAAACCATGAAATATAGTTACACAAATAGAACAATTAGTATAGTTTTTTTTGAAAGAGAATGAAATAACAGAAATTATATCGTAGCAAATTTGCTACAAATTTTTGTTCAAAAATAATAAATATGATACTGAAACATTACATGAGTAACCTTTTTCTTATAGATTTTTTTTTAAACAAAATTTAAAAATTAATAAGACCAAAACAAAGAGAAAATATCTCTTGCCAATATTACCATCTAGATTTTTTATGTTACCGTCAGAGATGAACATACATTGAAAATGAGCAATTGTTTTCTCTGGGTTTTTGATTTTTAAACGAAAAGTATATTATTCGTAAGGAATTTAAATGGAAGCAATTGAAAATCATTAATTCGCGAATTATTCGAAATTTTTCGAATTATTCAAAATTTTTCGAATAATTCAAAATGTTTCGTATTATTCGATTTTTTTTGAATTATTCGTAGAATTTCGAATAATTCGAAAATTCAAATTATTCGATTCGAGTTTCGAATCAAATATCATTTGGTAACGGTTGTTTATTTGAAAAATTAGTTAAAAAACGTGATGGACTCAAGAAGATATCAAAGAAAATATTCGTGTTGAAGAGGTCGCATTAATTAGAGGATCCCTAGAAGATAGAATATCAGCAAAATTTTAAATAATTTTTTACTAAAAAAAATATCAACGTACAAACCTACAAACTGTACTGTTATTAGGATATATTTCTTACCTTTGTCAGTTGAAAAAAAAATTAACATTGACTTAAATAATATGTTTTTTGGCAATATATACCTACCATATTTATCAAAAATAAATATATTTGTTTTTAAGTAATGTAAATGATAATGCATGGAAATTTTTTATTGCACAATGTCATATTGTTTACGTTATCCGAAATATTAGTTATTAGTAATTCTGTCTAAAAATATTACAGTATTTACCCAAGGTAAGTACCAATACTTAACAGATAAGATAAACATAGATATATATATATATATATATATATATATAGCAAACTTTTTTTAAAATTTTTATATCATTACCACATTGAAAGATAAATATACGATTAGTTATAGTTATCTGGTGTCTTAAAATGTAAGTAAAAATTAGTGTTTGGTCAAAATTCTGCATAGGCTGTTGTCATTAAAATTTAAGAAAATGAGTCATCATCATGATCACCATGGGCCGCCCCCACACCATCACGATCACCACGGGCCGCCCCCACACCACCACGATCACCACGGGCCACCCCCACATCACACCGATCACCATGGGCCACCCCATCATCACCATGGACATCCACCTCCAATGAACGTTTTACATCCCCACCCAGGTCCACCACCCCCAGAGTTTTTTGAAGGTCACCCACCCCATCACCACGGGCCACCCCATGATCATCATCATCAACATGGTCATTGTTAAAATGTTATCAAATTTAGCTTAAAAATCCTGTTAGTTTGCAATCAAAATTTGGCTAAAATAAAAAAACAATATAACCACTTAACTTTTCTATGATTTTCTGATATTTTAAGAGTTTCAGTTAATATTTTTAACCGTTTTGCTGGCGGCACAATGCCGAAATGTTTGGTAAGTAATTGCAAGAAAAAAAATTGAATCGTTTCATTACACTGAAAGAAATTTGTTGCTAAAAGTAAATACAAATTTATACTAAAAATTTTATACTAGTGCTTTACACATTTATACTACTGTTTATTATGAATGTATGGTAAATTTTGTAATACATTTATTGTAAAGAAGATATGTTAGATCTAAATAAAAATAAACTTACCCTTACTATAAAATGTAAACTATAAGTGAATTACAGCAAAAAAATATTGCTAGAAACACCATTTATATTGCTAGGGCAGCAATAGGCTGCTAACCAAACGAATATATTTGTTTTAGCAATGTATGTGGTAGTCTATATATGAAACATAAAATATATTTGCCCTAATTATTTTTTTATTTAACTTTAGTATATATTTCTTTCAGTGTAGTCAAATAAAAAAGTGTTAGAAAATATAGAGGTTTAAATTTTAAACATGGTTGTACATGGACAAAACTTTCTGTATATATTTTGATATAACACTTTTAACACGAATTTAACACTATTTTTTTATTGATATATACAACTTTTATATTTCGCTAATCTTAAAAATAATTTGGTTTAAATAAAACAAATTATATGTTTTAACATTAATTTTACTGTACTTTTCTCTCCTTAACAATTACAATACTACGTACACTTTGTACAATTTTTTTTAATTACTATAGTACGAATCACGTTTTTTAATAGAAAAAGAAGATACAGTCTGCTATAAGACAGAAAAGGCACAGGTTAGAAAAAGTAACCTAAAAAGCACCTATTTTTACATTTTTAAATTCGTTGAAATATTTTGTTTATTCGGTTATTGATTTATTTAATTATTTCAACAAATTCGCTAAAAAACATTCTTGTAGTGGGAAATACAAAAAATATTCGTTATTTTTTATATTTTCCATTAAAATAATAAATATTAATATATCTAAACTATAAATGGGGGACGAAAATATCACAGATTTAAGATTTTAGCAAAAACAACTTTACCATAAAATAAAATACCATGGAGTACTTATTTTACATACTTTTTTGTATTATAGTTGAAATTTAGATTTCAAATAATAAAACCTTAAAAAGTATATAAAATATAAGTAAACCACTATTTTTGCCGGGAAGAATGGGAAGATATAAAAAAAATATCCTGAAATAATATTTCGGTAGGTACCTACTAAATTTCTACAAGAACAAGCAGAGAAGGCCTATAGATTGTCAAATTTAGTTGTTTCCCTTTTTATTTATTATTATTTTGCTGGTGGGGACAAAAATTTCACGAATTCCTTAATAAATTTTCCTTAATATTTTGAGCCTGTTAAAAAATACAATAAACCTCTTTTTGAATCTTTTTATCCCCAACAGCTATTTATTATTATTGACTCTTTGAGCGAAGATCACTAATATAATTTATTTATTGATTTATTTATTAAATTGTTTATCACAATTTTAATTTTATATAATTTCATAGAAAAGATATTTTTGAAGAGACTATTTTTTATTTACGCTATCATTATCATTAATTTAATCTATTAGCTCATTTTTCACAGTTTTTTACTTATTGTTTAGTAATAAATAATTCCTTTTAATTCGTCTATTTTACATATACAAAAAATGCTAAAAACGGGGCATTAAATAAATACATTTTACGTTAAGATGTTGTTCAAATATTTATAAGTAAAATTAATATTTTATTATAAATAATATACCTAACCTTCTTTTTTGTAAAATCAAAACAATTCCACCCCGCGAGTATAAAAACTATTCTATATACATTATTAAAAAAAATAAATATATGAAAACAGTCACAGTAGATATTAATAATAAAAGCATTTTTACACAACTAATGCACTTTATCATAAAAGAAATCGATATATTTTACTTTTAGAATAACCTTTATGTTAAAAATGGTGTTTTAGTTTAGTAGCAGTTATTGCTACCTACTTTTTAAATTTTTAATATTTTCTTTAATATATTCTAAAATATAAATCGTTAAAAAACCTACCTGAAATTTCACGAGTTTATGGTTAAAGATAAGGACAAAAATTTAATAAATGACATAAAAAATAATTAAAATATATTTTACATATCCTGCTACTAAACTTTTGAACACCCTGTATAAAATCCTAGAAAAAATGCACAATATTAAAATAAATACATGATATGTAAATATTATATATTTTTTAAATTGATTGCATATTTTAAATGAAATTTTATTAATAATTTTCAAACTAAAGTTTCTCACATTCAAAGTTTGTGTTGCTTTAAAAAACCTTTTTCTTTTTGGATAAAGTGCACATTTTAAAACAAAAATATATATTTACAATACCGAAAATATATTTTTGTTTTATATTATAAAACGACTAAACAATTCCTATGATAAAATGTACAAAATCCACTAAAGATATGTAAAAATAAATTACTAATAGGAAGATATTTACACGTACCAACTATTTACATTTATATAAAAATATGTGACTAACAATAATACTAAAGGCCGTATGTTTTGCGCATACAGACACGAATAAGTAATTTAACAATTCTTGGCTTTATCCACTAAATTTTCTGAGCTGTTGTTGATATCGAATATGTCGAACTTATTCATCTCTTTCAAGTTATCATCCAAGTTCCGCCTTTCAGTTATGATACGTTGAACGGACTCTTGACTGTCGTGTTTTGGGATTTTTTTATCTTGCGAAGTTGGTACTGCCAATAAAAACGGCGTTTCTTCGGTCACATCCATGGACTTTTGTTTCTGAAACAAATGCTTGGTGCTACCGTACGACTTGCTGACAGGTTTTTGCTCCACGGGGACAAACAACCTGTTCAAATCGGTATTTTCGTTGATTTTTTTGTTAGCTTTTTCATCCACCTTGGGTATCTTCAAGAACCCCTCACTCTGCGTAACAATTTCGTCTAAATTCGTTTGTTGCCTATGATTTTTATCCGCGACGACCCCCTCTTGTATGCTGTAAATATCGGACGTGGATTCGTCGATGTTTTTTATGTCGTCCAAGTTCATCAACATCATTATTGGTTGGTGACTGTGCAGAGTTTGACGACGAGTTTGCGAAGGTTGAGGCTCCAAAGTCACCTTGGTGCCTGGAGGATTGTACGTGAAGTTTGATGGCAGAGATAAAACCTGAAATTTAACGATAATCTCCAACTTGACAGTGACAGTGGCCAAATAGTTACCTTGGTTAGTGGTTTGTGTTTCATTTGGCACTCTTGATCCAGCTGTAAGGCCAAGCACAGCTGATTCCGCTCCTCCATTTCCTGTTTTTCCGCGAACTCCCTTTCCAGCTGAATGTCCATGTCTTGTTCGTCTTCCAAATGCTTGTGGGATTCTTCCAGGTGTTTCATAAGAACCTGCAGTAATGTCAAAAATACGTTTTAAAATGCAAGGGCTGTCATAAGGGGCATTCCATGACATGAAAAAATTCATATTCTTTTCGCATTAAATCTGATGAATTTTTAAAGAAAACATTCCAAATTATGTGCGATAAAAAATGTTGTAAGTTAATTAGTCTTCAAAATCTGTACACAATTGTGCCTCTAACTATTGGAAATACGAAAAAAAATGTCAATCTGTCAACCGTTTTTGTCACGTTGTGATTTGAGATTATTTATCGTGGATTTCGAGCAGTCACACCTCTTTCAAAGAGGTGTGACTGCTTTTCCGATGGTGTTGTCGAACCTACCGAAATTTCGGTATTTTTACCTTAATGGCAACGGACCTACCAAAATTCCGAATACTTAGATTTTCGTCAATAATTATGTTTCTACCGATTTTTGGCAATAATAACGCACCCAAAGCTCCTTAAGTTATGTTTAATGAGAGAAGACTCACGGTGTCCCTGAATAACTTTTAATTAAAAGGTTCAGACGTATCCGATTTTTTTTCATATTTTGGTAAAAAATTACCTACAAGACATTTTTTTTTCAGGATAAACTCTATTCGCTTGGCACTTTTTAAGAAAAATCAATTTTTATAAAAACATTAATGATTTTTAATAAATTTTTTGAGATTTTTAATTAGTGAACTCCAAATATTGACTAACAGCTTTTAATGTATTTGTTACATAAAATGTGCAATTCATTAGACTAGTGTACTATTGACATATGTCACTTATCAAATGTCACATGTTGAAATCGTGATTGAAAATACCGTTGCGTTATTTTACCATTTTTTTTCAATTTGTCACAGATTTATTTATAAATTTGATATAAATAATTATATTTGCATTGATTATAGTATATAGTGCAATGAAGCTAATAAAAAACCATGCATGGACTCACTCGGATAATCGAGAGAATTTGTTTATTTTGTCTTAAAAAAAAGAAAAAATGTTTAAAATATGTAGAAAGATTCTGGAAAAAGTTGTATAAGTATATGATGTGGAAGATGAACGATTACCAAAAGTTGTATGCAAAGGTTGTGAAATTTTATTATATAAAGCAGCTAAACAAGAAATTTATAGAAACACGTTAAATTTGCCTCATTTTTCTAATTGGAAATTATTTTATAAAAAGTGCTAAAAACCCATTAAAAAAGAAAAAAAGCGTTTGGTGAGAAAATGTTTTAAATGTTTGTCAAGTATTGTTGGTGGCCGCGGTAAAAACATAAATGTAAACCTGGAGTAGAAGAAGAAAATATTGGAAACGATATTAGTGAAACTTTAAGTCCGAAACATCAGCAGCAGTTACTATCGCTCCTTCTTTTTTTAAAAGAGCGATAGTAACTGGTGCTGATTTTTAAGACTTAAAGCTATGCTTTGAACTTTTTCCAGAATCTTTCCACATATTTTAGATATTTTTTCTTTTTTTAAGACAAAACAAACAAATTCTCTCGCGATTATCCGAGTGAGCCCATGCACGGTTTTTTATTAGCCTTATTGCACTATATACTACAATCAATGCAAATATAATTATTTATATCTAATTTATAAATAAATCTACGACAAATTGAAAAAAAAACGGTAAAATAACGCAACGGTATTTTCAATCACAATTTCGACATGTGACAAGTGACATATGTCAATAGTTCACTAGTATAATGAATTGCACAATTTATGTAACAAATACATTAAAAGCTGTTAGTCATTATTCGAGGGGTAAACCACTTTAAAATCTTAGAGAACAACGTTCAATGTTAGTTTACGTTGTGTTGAGATTTTTTTTCCTTATCAGTCGTTATCAATAAGGAAAACTTGCTTAATCGGTGCTTAATCAGTGCTTAGCGACGTTTTGTACATGACTACCCTTGTTATTGTTATCCTTAAGGATAATTAGCCGTTAATTCGTAAGCGATTTCTAATTTAAAAAAATCAGTGGTTTACCCCTCGTCATTATTTGGAGTTCACTAATTAAAATTCTCAAAAAATTGATTAAAAATCATTAATGTTTTTATAAGAATTGATTTTTCTAAAAAAGTGCCAAGCGAATTGAGTTTATCCTGAAAAAAAATTGTCTTGTAAGTGATTTTTTATCAAAATATGAAAAAAAATCGGATACGTCTGAACCTCTCAATTAAAGTTATTCAGGGACACCGTGGACTAATAAAACACCGTTTTCGTCCATATAAAGTGTTTAATTTTTGTACTTGTAAGATCCGAAACAGAACCATGGTAACACCCGAAACAAAGAAAAATGTTATATTAAAATAGTAAAACGTTATTTGTGACAGTGATTTTGTGGTAGATGGTTAGTAAATATTATACTTTTGGACGCCTGTAATTTTTACTAAAAAATTTTAATAAAAACTTTTTAGGAATGTTTCCCTAAGAAAAAATAAATGTAACAATGGTAGAACCCCCCACATTTTTTGAAATCTTTATCCTATATGGTAAACTGTACTAATTTTACAATTTAGATGAAACAACTAAAAAAGTAAAGAATAAGGCAATTTAATTGCTAAAATGTTATTTCAAAATACATAACGATAGAATGACCAATGACTAGGGATGGGATATTTAGGTACTAAAAACTGAAAAATAGTTAACTAAAAAGGTACTAAAAAAAGCATTTTAGGTTAAAAAAAACAGCATTTTAGGTAAAAAAAAACATTAAAAGTTGAAGTTTCTTTTATAATTTTGTTTAGCCGCATACCCAAACACAGAACATACCCACAATAAACTATTTCTATGCAATAAACTGTGTTTCACTGAGTGACACTCACTACACAGAAATTCTATGACAGAACATAAGCTCAATACACCCATAGAAATAATTTAGAATAATAGAATAATTTCTATGCTGTGACCATAAGAAAAAATTCTATACCGTTGAGTTGCACGCCCTGGATAAAATATTGTCGGAAAATTTAAAAAGAACACAAAAAAATAAAATAGGTAAAAAAAAATAAAATAAGTAAAAATACGTAAAAATAGATAACAAATATGTGAAATAAATAAACTGACAAATTAAAAAATATGTAACAAAAGTATAAAAAGGTAGTTTAAAGCAAAAACCTCCAAAAAAGGTAAAAAAGGTGAAAACTAGTTAAAAAAATAGGTAAGAAAAGTATAAAAAAGGTAGTTTAAAGCAAAAACCTCTAAAAAAGGTAAAAAGGTGAAAACAAGTTAGGTTCATATAAAAGAAAATCTTTTAAAACACATTTTGGCATTATTGGTTTTCAAATAGTTACATCGGTTGAAAAAAGGTAAAATAACTAAAATCCCATCCCTACCCATGACATACTATACTTAAAAAAGGATAACTTTGGTGATATGTTAAACAAATATTAGAAATATTCCTGAGTTTCACTTCGCTTCTGAAGATGCCAACATCGTTGGCGAATAGTACTTTAAGCACTTTGTGTTTTGTTTTGGAGAATATTTTTAATAATTGTTTGGCATACTTTATGTCAAAAAATATACTAACGGCAACCACAACATTGACGAGCACGAACTGGGCCATCAGCACGAAAATGACGAAAAATATCGGCGCGATTATGGGAGATATGCAACAATTTTTGACGCAGTCGCTTCGCGGATCGCACTTTTCGTCGTACAACGTGTCTTTCATGATCCCGTTCCAGTTGTCGCCTGTCGCGACCCTGAACAGCGTCAAGAATGCCATGCCGAAGTTTTCGAAATGGGCGTGTTCCCCCAAGCCTTGGCAAGGCGTGAATTTGCAGTCCAGTCGTCCGAATAGTTCGACTCCTAGAGCGGCGAATATAAAGAAGAGTAGGAAAAATAGTAAACCTAGGTTGCCCACTTGTGGAAGAGCCTGCATTACCGTGTCCAATAAGGCTCTTATACCTGAAATAGATTTTGTTGTACTGTTTTGTGCAATTATACACATACATTACCTTTCGCCATTTTGAGCAACTTCAGAACCCTCGCTATCCGCATAACCCTCATAACTCTCAACACTGTAGGGTTTATAGGTATGATATTCGACTTCAACTCTTCCAAAACAATCCCAACCACCGACAAAATAACTATAAACACATCCAAAACGTTCCACTTATCCTTGACGTATAGCAAAACCCCCAGAGCAACCAATTTCATGATCCCTTCCAATATGAAAACGGCCGTGAAGAAATAGTTGAATATTTTCAGAGCGTACTCCAACGCTTCCGCCATTTTGTAGCTTTCCGTCGCCATGGTAACCACGTTCAAGCCAATCACCAAGGCGATGGCCAAGTCAAAGTATTTCGAGGTCACTATTTTGTGGATGAAGAGTCTCCAGGAGCCGTAGTTGACGTAGTAAGGTGGCTCGTTCATTTCTAAAATGGACAGTGTCACGTATTAACTGACTGGCCCTTTACCTCGTCATTATGCTTTTGCTTTAAGCGTGCTACACAAACAGGAATTTTTAAGCTCATCAGTACCGGGTGTGGCGTGAAGCACACTCCAAACAAAAGCATGGTGACGAGGAAAAAGGCAACTTCTCATGACTGCGAGTTCTGTGGTCAAATTATTTCAAGCTGTACTTTTGGTTTAAAATTTCTCAAGAACATGATAGAATGTTGGTTAACTTTGTAGACGTTTGGTATTATTGACTTACTTCTTCTGCGTTTTTCCATTTGCAAGGCTCTTTTGGCAGCCCTTCTGATCCGTTCTTCCTTTTCTTGTTCCTCGCGACATCTATGGAAATTTTCCACGACCACTCCAACAAACATGTTTAGTACAAAGAAGCCCACCAAGAGTATAAAAGCGATGAAGTATAGAAGTCTCCATTCGGAGTAGTTGACAATAGGCTGTAAAAATTAATTGGTATATATGAGGTCAAAACTATCCCAACTATTTAGAGAAATGTTTTTTCTTACTTGTTGGTCGATGCCCACAGCATCTAAACCATGGTACATGATATTAACCCATCCATCCCTCGAGCTTAGCACAAAAAGCGACATTAAGGCTTGACCAAGGTCATCGAAATTATATTTTTGATTCTCCCAAGTGTAACCTAAATGTCTATGTGCCTCACAATCGTCCTTATTATTGATATCTGTTAAATTGTCGCCCACGCATCTATAGAAAGTCCCTTTGAAAAGCTGTACTCCCAAGATTCCAAAAATTATGAAGAATGTACAGCATATAAGTACAATATTTCCTATAGGTCTGAGAGAAGAAAGTAATGTTTGTACAACCAATTTTAGACCAGGCGCTCTGTTAATCACCCTTAAGGGCCTTAGTGATCTTAGTAACCGAAATACCTATAAAATACAGCATGGAAGTTGTAGTTGTGCAGGATAATATATTCTTACCCTTAAAATACCAAATATTCTAGAACTAGTGTCAGTTATCAAAAACATAACAATATCTATAATAGAGATTATCACAAGGGAACCGTCCATTATGTTCCAACCAGATGTGAAATACGCGTTAGGACCGTAACACATGCCAGTAGCAACAACCTATAAAAATAAAATATTCATATTTTTTTTCAGTATTAAGAAACGTCGTTACCTTTATAAACATTTCAGTTGCAAACACCACAGTGAAGATGTAGTTGCAAGTTTTAAGAACGAGCTTTTCCAAGCTGTCTGGAGGTATGTTCGGTCTTTCCATTGCCAACGTGATACAATTCAACGCGATAAATAATAATACCATGTTGTCGAACCATTTTTGAGTCACCAGCCATTGGCATCTTTTTCTAAAGCTGTAAAAGTTTAGAAAAGTTTGAAGTTCAAAACTATAAGAGTTATTAAGTTATGCGTAAGTGCTTTTCGATATTTCTTATTGGAAAATTTTCATATAAAACTTTTCACAATGTAAGTATGTCGAAAAGTTTTAAGGGAAAACTTTAAGAAGTCTTGAAAGTATTATTTTATATTTTTTGTCTTTATACAGCTTTATCATCACATCAAATTTAAAATAACACTTAGTTGTCATGGTCACGAACTCTTTGATACTTTACCTATTATTTGTAGAAAACACGTATAGGGAATATTCATCCTTTTCCTTCAAACACCCTGTAGGTTCTGCCAACATAATTAACTTATTAAACCAACTCAGTCTGGGTTGGATGGTTTCAGTGGTTAGGCATTCGTCCATGTTAATCCTGGGTAAAACTCTTTCAGAGACTGTTTTGTCATTTAAACTGTTGATAGTTTTTAGTTCTATTAGACTGTTTTTTCTTGATAGTGTTGGACTTGAGCCTTTACTTAATTGAGCGTTGATTTTTGATTGTATTAATGATGATTTGGTGAGGGAATTGTGTCTTGTTAAGGTGGGGGCAGTAGGTTGGCCCTAAAAAACCAAAATGAAATGGCTATCATTACTGTGGACAGGGCACTTCAAAAAATTATCGCCGATTTTTACCAATATTATTTAGAAATCTCATTCTTATCTTAAATAAACCTCTCTAACTTTTTAGTTATTTTATTGTATCTTGTTTTTGAGTATGAAAAAAATCGGCAAAATCGACAAGAACTTTTCGAGTACAAAATATTTTTTTAAGCAAGCAAACAAACATAACAACAAGTATTACTTGTGAGCCAACCGAGCTGCAAGTGTTGGATCTACAGCGTATGGAGTTTTGCGGACTTAGGCCTTTAGCGCTCTTATTGTTAGGGACGTCTTTTTGGGTGTCGTTCTGTATACGAATGGATGATTGTAACAGCGACGTGTTCCTTAAACTAGCCTGCGAACAACGACAAACATGGGCTTCGGAAACGGTCTCGCCAAACGAAAATCTCAAACTTTATAAACTAGGTTTTCGTTTTATAAGAGAGTTTCAAGGCCTTTACAAAATAATATTCCAAAGTATACTTACATGTCTTGTAATATCTCCTCCATTACACTGACTATGATCTCTGCCGTTATTCAAAGGCACTGCCTCGGAATCGGACCCGCTCCTGCGTTTTTTCCGTCTCAAACTGGGACGATTCGAGAGTTTCCACGAACATTTCCTTTGTATTTTCGTTTTATCGGCGTTACTTTTGTTAATTGGCATCGAAACTTTTTCGGAGAACGACATAGTTTTTAACCCAACTTTTTCATTGTGTATTACGATTTTTCCACTTAAGGCGGAAGGTGGGTCGTCTAGAGGCCTTTCGAATTGACGGAAAGTCAAGGGAGGGGGCGATAAGCTAGGGGGTTTTAAAAGGCTCAAGCTCTGAAACGAAGAAATAAGTATGTCCTTTCATATAAAACAAAATAATTATAATACCGATGTTTTTAGTGTGGATTCCGTACTGGAATGAGCCCCGCTCTCACTTATCGAAGTACAATCCGTATGGACCGGAGTTATATTGTATTTAAATTCCGGAAAATCATCTAAGGTGGTACTGGGTGAATCCTGAGGTGTGGCAGCTGTATGTGTGATAACCGGAGGAGATGGCTGAAATAAAGTTTTGATAAACTGTTTTGCAAATAAAACGATTTCAATGTAATAGAATATCATCCACATTTATTTGCCATTTGTAATCTTACAAGAAAATCGCTTATAATAGTGGCCACTTCTTTGGGCTGATCCTCTTGGAGCATGTGGCCAGCTTTCGGTATTATTTTGACCTGGAATTTCCCCTGCATCTGTCCAATTGTGAGCTCCGTATCCATTTGATTAATACTGGCTAGCAGCAAAATTTTTGGACACTGCACGCTGATGAATTTGTTTGATAGACCTTTGAACCATCCTTCCCAGTAGGGTTCAGACTCACTTAAGTCTACTTTCCAAGTGTATTTATTGGAGGTACTACATTGTGATTGTTGTGGGTAAGATTCCTCCTCTATGACATCCATGTTGTGACTTATACTTTTTTTAGGTTTAATGTTGTATTTCCCGATATCTAAGCTTTCACTTCCCAGTTGAGAGGTTTCTGTGTTCACCAATTGACCTGGTAGGGATATTTTTGCAGCTTCGATATTATTTGTTATACCCTTGTTGATATACCATTGCATACCTTGTTCTAAACTATTGAAATCCTTGGGTCTTTTGTCCAAAATATTTCTCATGTAAGGTAGAGCATGTAAGGCTTGCTGCTCCATAGCTTCCAAAACAATAAGGCATTTTATGCTTGTTAGATTACAAGCTAAATTAACTGCGACGCAACCACCTAAACTATGTCCAACGACAACTATATTCTCACTATAAGTTTTCCCAAGATCATTCACAATATCTACCAGATCTTCGGTAAGATTTTCCAGCGAAATATTTTTTTCGTCATCCGTAGAAGTTTTTCCATGCCCTCTTAAATCCACAGCCACTATCCTACAGTGAATTTTGGTTTGTATTTCATTCGTCATAAGTGCCCATGTTAAGGCACTGCACCCTGCACCGTGTATACATAAAATTACAGGCCCCCGTATTCCTTTTACATATACATGAAACTCGCCATTATGTGTTTTAATTGTTTCTTCGTGGTCAAAATATAATTTCCATAACATTTTATTATTACCATCGAACTTGAGGTTTTTCCATTTTGATTTTGACAGTGTCATTTTTTAAGGTTTTTACATTAAAAAAAATTAAAGCAAGGTTATGACTTACCTGTCTTGTGGGTTGTTTCGACAATTCTTTTTGTATGTTGCATTTTGGTTCGGACACGTAAAAGCACTCGCTTGGATTGCGAGTTTGACAGTCGCAATTTGAGATTGCCAACGTTTTCTGTCCGTTCAAATCTTTGCTTTTGCGGAGCTCTTCAGCCGAACGCCAATGGTTTTTGGTATCCTAAATAAATAAGAAAACAATGTTACAGTTACAGTCAGAATTCACCTGTTGATCTCAAAATGAACTCAATATTAAGTCATTGATGATTTTCATTTGTGAGATCCATATGACATAAGCTACCTGTATATAGCTCCCACTAGAACTGGATATAGACCTGCTACTATCGGTACTACTCTTCATACTAGCTTCCAAAATGCAGGACATTTTCCTTCTAGCCATTTCCCTTTGTTCCCTTTCGCGTCTTTCATTCCTCTCGGAGCTAAAACCCTCAACCAAGATGGCGACCAACAAATTAAACAGAACGTAGTTTCCAAATGTCATTAAGGCTACGAAATATAAGGCTGCCCAGTGACTGGTCTTCGCCATACCATTCGACAGTACCATGTTCCAATCCTCTTGTGTAAGAATCTATAAAATAAGTTTTTGAGAGTCTGAAGTGAGTTTTCGAGTCACAATTGCATTTAATACGCCATAAGTGCGTATTTAATACAATTTCAAAGGACAATACTCTATTACATAGATCTATTTTGACAGTGGAACTGTCATTGTCTAGGCACTCTATAGCGTATTCTCCTTTGTTCACCTTAGCCTACTATAGATAAAAAATGGATTAGTCTCACTTGAAACACGGTGACGGTGGCCCATAGGATGTTGTTGAAGTGTTTTCTGTCACATTGACAGTTATCGTCTGTCAAGTATTTACAGCCGCAGTCGCGCACGTTTCCTTTTTCGTCACGGTAGGTGCAAAACTTACCGCCAAACAGGTACATGCCCAGGATGCTTTAAAATAAGAGCGACAAACGAGGATTTGTTACTACTTGCTGTCTACTTTGATCATTATAAAGATATATTGGGCTATGTTTTTATTTTGTTAACATATTTTTTATGATTGTAATGTACCTATATTCAAAAAGTACTATTTCATTTATTTTACGTTATAAACTGGTGTTGTTGTTTTAAAGGCCTCCTCAATCTACATACCCCAATGTGTACGATTTTTTTAGAGGGCTATTTTATTGATTAAACAATATAATCGTTTTTCCAAAAATTGCATTGTTTGTTTTTAAAAATAAAATAATTATGGTAAACATATTAAAAACGATTTTAAATAAAAATTCATTAAAATCGCATCAAATATACAAAACCTTATTTGAGTGATAGCGATATAGCATTTCCCCACAGGCTGAAGTTAGCTTTAAAGTGACGTTGGAACTGTCTGATAGATTTCAAATGTCAAAGAAATTCATTGTTTCGTTTTTGGCCCACTGGGCCGCTCAGTGAGCAAGCTTTAGAGGCGGGTCTACATATGCACGCGCCTTTTTACAGCCAACATTGCGGCTGTATGTACAATGTTTCTTTTTTATATTATTAACTGTAGTTATGTTATAAATAATAATAAAGGTAACTTCACACTTGAGGAGTATCCTTTTTCTTCCACCAGTCGCACGATAAACCATTTTTATTTAAAATCCATGTAAAAATATTTTAAAGATTTTAAAAAATTAAATAGGTAAAACTCGATTAAATCTTCTAATTTTTCTAACTTAACTGCTAAAACCTACAAAAACTCTACGAAATTCGCAAACCTACATCTAATATTATTCATAAATAATTTTTCTAATTTAATAAACGAATAAAACATGTTTTTCTAAATTCATTTTCATTTGCCTATATTTTGTTGTCCAGGTACAGTTGCTGGTTAAAACTCCTCTAACATTTGCAGGGGTGACAACTTGATAAAAATTAACAAAAAGCAAACAACAATTATAATAATAATAATAATAAAACACGAGCAGAAAAAAGTGACAATATAAAATTCATAAAACAGTGTAAAGTGTTGGAAAATAGTGCACGGCAAATATATTTTAAAATGTCCTACACGATTAAAAAATACAGAGCAGCAAAACTGTCAATGTCAATGTCAATTTTGTGAATGTTGTCGATATTTTTTAGCTATGTATGTTTAAATCGTTTATCATGCAAAAGTACGTAGAAGTATTAAAATTGAAAAAAATAAAAAACCTACCTTAAAATTTGAAGATAAAGGATATTTACCTAATTTACTGTGTTACGTATTAATAATTTAATTCATTACACAATAAAATAAATAAGTACGACTGTTTTTTTTAATTTCTAATAGTTAAGAAAGACAATTAAAATAAATAAATAAACTATGGAATTAATTATTATTTTATTATTATTTATAATTTTATTATTTAAAAAACAAAATGTTTGAATTTAATGGCCATATGCCAAAATTTATATTAAAATTGTAATAAATGCAAATAAATGTAAATATTTTGCAATAAAACTTTTGTTATAGAAAAACAATTGATATGATAAAACACGACGCCACATGGCGGCGAGTGTGCAACGCCACGAGTCGTGTAATGTTTTAATTTACGTATAGCAGTTGGAGTTTTAGAGAAACGTGTCAGCATTTTTTTCTTTTAATGATGATACTCAATTGTTGAAAAACTTTATACAGGGTGTCCCAGAACTCGCGCCACAGAGAAAAAGGGAACGTGCCGAAAGTTATGCGAAACAAATACTTGAAAATTAAAATTATCTAACGCAAAGGATAAGCGAGATAAGAATAAAAAACGATAGCCAATCCCAATACATGGCCATAGGAAATTCTTTAAAATGCTAGGGTACTTAGGATGCATTGTTGATATTATAATATGTAAAATATTTGGTTAACTGGAATCTACTTCATTGTAACACTGCTCAATTTTTGTCATTATTTATCATTTTAAGTCAGGTTTTCCTCCTCTGATTGTGCCGAAATGATGATTATTTATGGGGAGTATTTTCCGATCGTAAAGTTGTTCTGCGTCGTAACGAAATTGAAGGTGCTCCTTAACGTATTAGAACAGCGGAAAATAAAGAAGCTATTTTCAATGCCTTTGATGCAAATAGTAGGAAGAGCACAAGGAAAGTTGCACGCGACTTTTCCGTTCACAGTTCAGCTGGTTGAAGTATGACATTCCTTTTTGAAAGGTTAGTAAACTCAGTCGGACAAAAGATTTTTAAAAGTTTTAAGACAACGATGTTCTATCGTCTCCTAGCAATTTTTAAAGCTCCTACGTTTAACCTAGGCGAGAGCTCTAGACATTTTTTATTTTTAAATTGCTATCGTCCTGCCCCCTTTTCTCTGTATCGCGTTTTCTGATTTTAGTGTTTTATATTATGAATTTTCTCATTCAGATATCACAATAAAAAACTTGTGACTACTTACTTATTTATATTAAAAATACACAACCATCTAAAAATGTTTTTTTCAAGAAATTTTTGCATACAGCCATAAAAAAATTAATTTAAATCAACTCATCAATTTATTTATTTTCCTTGTCTGTTCGATCGAAAATCGATGAAACTGAGGTGATATTGAGGTTAAAAGTTAAAATACCTGAAAAACTGTGACTAGAGCCCACAAAAGGGAGTCAAAATTTTTCCTATCTTTATCCTCGTCATTGTCAGTGACGCAAGTTTTTTGCTTATTATATTTATTTTCTTCGCAAAATTTGCAACCGAATATGTTCATACCCAGTATACTAAAACATCCCAAAAATCAATCAGATTTATTTTTGTGTTATTTGTTATTTCTTCGACTATCTACGCTCCAAAAAAATATCGCATCCCCCATACAATTTTTAATATAAAAAATATTCTCAATACATATACCTGTATAGAAAAAAATATGTTGGTTGTATACATTATATTACGTTATTCTCAATACATATACCTGTATAGAAAAAAATATGTTGGTTGTATACATTATACGTTATCATAGTTTACAGAAACTGCAATTGATCGATATATTTTTTTATAAACATTATACAGGTTGCATTTATATAACGTAACTTCAGAAAAAAAACATGGATTTATTATTTTAAAAATGTAATAGATGGTGCAAAACTTTTTTAGCTGAGTGTACACATTACACTTGGCAACAGCACTCTTGCTTTCTTAATTTTTATTTTATTTTTACTAATAATTAAAATTAAAATTATTTTGTTTCGCTGATATACAGGTTGAACTTTTTTAATAGTGAGTCAATAGTCTTTTAAGTTTGTTGCCGGGTGTAAAATATTTGGGTTCAAAACAACACATACGTTTATATTAAATTGTAGAGATGGATAAAAATCTTTTCTTAACTATTTCATGTAATTATATGTATAGATACAACACAGTTTAAATTGATCATAATTATGATTTTTTACGTGGAAAATAAAAAAATTGTGTTTTTTTAAATTTTGGCCATCTCCAAATTTAAACAACAAAAAATGAATGATTTGATTTATTAATTAGGGTAATATTAATTATAAAGTTAGTACTGTGATATTTGGAATGTTATTAAAAATGTTTTATACAGGGTTTCACAAACTACTATTTTGTTGCATTAAAATTTTGAAATTCTTACATCTTTTTTGCTTCACCCTGTATATTAAAGCTGTAGTGTTATGAAATATTTACAATAAGTAGTCTACCTATAGGTAAACAGTTAGTAAAATCAATGTGATATTTTATATTTAAAAGTACCTACCTATGACCAAAATTTGTTGTAGGTACCTTTGTAATATACAGGGTGTCTATTTCAAAACGAGCAATGCTAAAAAAGATATCAAAAATTTCTCAAAACCATTCATTTTGAGCATTTAATTTAAAAAGCTAAGGGGTTGCTAAGTGAAGGTCATTTTTGTGGTCATACTAATTGCCCCACATATATTATAGAAACGGTTTTAAGAAATGTTTGATTTCCTTTTTAGGTGAAATGAAAAATTCCCGGTACTTTTTTAAAAGAATGTTCTTGTATTGAATAAAATATCACCTTGATTGTAAAACAAATATCTATAAAAGCATTTTGTATTATGTACAGTAGTAGTAGGTTTATTATTGTTGTATAAATTGTGCGTACAAAATAATGTGCTTATTATTTGACATTGAAGATATAAGAGGATAGAGAGTACAGAGAAAGTGTCAGTATAGAGTATGTGGAGTATAATAGGAATAATCTAACATCGAATAAAAAATAAAAATAAAACAAAAACGTGTTTTTTCTAAATAAAACGTATTTACAAAAAATTTGGTAAAATAAAATTGCCACCCCTCACAAATTAAATCCCCCAAACAAAAAAACTAAAAATGTAAAAAAGGTTTATACAATTAATATGAGGCATTTTTTAAATGCTTTTTTGTTTAATCCTATATTTTCTATTTAGTATTATTTATTGCACTGGGAAACGAGAAAAAAATGTTGTGAGTTAAATATTAATATTAAATAATATATGAAACTGTCGGCACATTTTCCTATAGACCCTGTATATTTTTTACGTTTTTATGTGGAAATATAAAGCTGCTTAGTTTTAGACCGCATTTAAACATTTTAACCTATTAAAGTCAAAAGGTTTAAAGTTAACCAAGATCTGGGCACAATTCCGCGCGCCCCTTTATATTCCACACTAAAACCTTAAAAATATAGAGGGTGTTCCCCTGTGTTATATGTGAATTGAAGTAGGTATAGGTATGTCTCTGTTATTTTATATTAGGTATTAGTAAAACGGGTAAATTAACAACAAATATAGAAAAAAGAACTGACTTACCTAAATATGAAAATAAACAAAATGAGTAGCGAGAAAAACACGGCGACGTTGTCCATTGTTCGAAGCATGACGAACAATTGTCTCCGCAAATTTGGCAAAAATCTGACAAGCTTTAGGATTCTTAAAAGGCGAAATGTTCGGAGTACTGAAAGACCAGAATCGTTGTGCATTTCGTCTCCTGTGGAGTATTTTTGGAAAATTTCAATTCCACTGAAAAAAAAAGAAAATTTCTGATGTTTTCAAGCTAATAAAGGTCACGGCCCGGCTGGCGTTGCAGCGATCAATTTCGTAACGTTTCATTCATAGCAAGCTTTTGCCACTCACAAACATACTCACCTTAAAATAACTATGATTCCGTCGAAAACATTGAACCCATTGCTGATGTAACCAAACGGGCCTTCGGCTACAACTTTCAAAACCATCTCGATGGCAAAAATCACAGAAAAAATAATGTTGGTAACTTCGACACTGTGCGTCAACCAGATCGGTTGGTTGTGGTGTTCGATCCCCATGGACAGGGTGTTGATTAAAATGGCCAGAAGTATTCCCTGTTGAAAGTATTTGTGTTCAACTAGCAGCTGGATGTATTTTCTGAACAACTTGAAGACGTTGAGGGTGCGTTTGAAGATTGTGCACGTGATGACGTAGAGTTTCGACCTTTTTTCGGTTTTGTATTCAGTGTCCATATGCCACATATCTTGACAGCACGAGAAATCGTCATCTGATATCTGCTGTACGTACATTTCTTCTTCATTTCGTCTATGGTTTATTCCTAGAATATAAGAAGCAGTTTTGTGAAAGCACACTTAATAAGTTCATATAACAACCTTTGGACAACGAATTAAAGAATGTATCCAGTACTATTTGCCCCGTGGGCAATGTGGCATTGATGGCCCCCAACGCCAACAATTCCTGACAAGTGAGAGCTTCGCCATTAAGCAAATCGTTGCAGTCTTGTGCGATCTGCTGCTGCGCTTGTAATATTTGTTCCTTATTGGGTGTCTGGGATATTTGCCAAATGTTCCCGTCGCCTGCCTGGGTGGTTTTTTCGCTGGAGCATACGTTCTTTTTGTCTATGTTTTGCGATGAACTGGGCGGGGTGTTGTTTTCCCCATGTAAAACAACCACTCCGCTAAACATAACCGAGCTTCTACGGCGGTTGTTTGGTATTAACGGTGGTGATAGGAGGTTCGTCGGGCTCTGTAACGATAGAAATGTTGTTTGAATGCGCTATAAAGGCATTGAATAGGTTTATAGAGGTTGTATATGTTTCAAGGTCCTTACTAAGCAGTTTTGTGATTGTTACTCATTTTTAGTTTCGCTGCTGAGAATCTTGTAATCGCAGTTTCATATAATCCGATGAAGCTAATTAGTGGATGTACGAAATAAACTTTCAAGATTCTGAGAAGAAATATGTTGGACAAACTAAACCAAGTAAGAGTACTTGGCCCATGCTTGATTTGGTAGGACAGATAAATCGAGATGATGGTCATAGAATAGCATTTGACAACCTTAAACTTATTAAGGAAGTTAGGGAACCAAGTCTACTAGATAGTTACGAAAGTTTATACATCTATAAGAATAGAAATAAATCTTTAAATAGCGATAACGGACCGGTACTTAACTCTAGTTTATATATAAATTATATAAATATATAAATTAGTTTGTTAGTTTCTCTTTACGTGTTCACTGAAGCGGTGTCCGTTCACGGTTCAGTCAACCTTAGCTTTTAATTAGTATAAATATGGTAGGCACTTTGTGTTTTGTTTTGGTGTTGGGGAATATTTCTTATAGTTGTTTAACATATCACCAAAGTTGTCATTTTTCAAGTTTTATTTATTTAGTAAATAATGCACAATCGCGTATAAAGACAACAAAAGTCCTTACTCCGAGATTCCGGAATGATGTGCTTCGCGTATCCCTTTCGACGCGCAAAGCCGCTTATTCAATTTTCCAGCATCAAAAAGATGAAATGCATTCAGGTAAACTAGAAAATGATATGTTGAAAGTAAATGATGTGGGGTCCCTTAATGTGATTGCAAAACTTTTATAAGACTCTATATAAAAATACGAAAAAGTACGTCGGAGTTATATGTATATCTGATACGGTTATTTCAAAAAACAATGTAGTTTTTATTTTTAATGCATTAGGTAAAGTTCATTTTTTTATCTGGAGTGCAGAAACGTTGCAAATTTAGGGGTTTGGTTGGAACAAAAATTGGTTGAATTGATTAAAACAAACTAAACTAAACTATAGTTATAAATGTTATTATATTGTAATTGTGGTTATGCCGTCCTCTGCCATTTCTCTGCCAAAAAGTAGTAGCAGAAAATGGCAGAAAAACGGCAGAGAGAACTCATCCGTTTCTTTGCTGTTTCTCTTTCAAAAAGTAGTGGCAGAGAAACAGCAGGGAAATGGCAGAGAAAGGCAGTGAAAATTTCCGCAAGTGATGTTACTAGTAAAAGTTTTATTTTATTTTGTGAAAAGGGATTTAGCATATAAAAAACGACCGACCGACATGAGACGGAATTGACGAGAGTACGAGGTGGCAGAGGTCTCTCCAAACAGTGCATTTTAAACTCGCCATCTAGTACGTAGCGTCCAAAGTACAAATGACAGTTACCTGTAATGTCAACAACGCCTTCTAGTACCTAACGTCCAACGTAAAAATTATTTTTAGTCAGAGAATTTATATTTATTTATTTATTCTCTTATATAAAATATAAACATGAAAAAAAATAAGTTAATTGTTCAACATTCAAAACAAAACATCGCGGAATAAAAGCTTCATTGGGATCTTATTAATTTAAATAATTTTGCAGGAAGGTTAACAAAGGAATAGTTCCGAGGTATGTATTTTAATTAGTGTCAAGAGGGAAAACAGCAGGGCGAAGGCAATAAAGATTAACCTTCATTATGGAAATGAACGTACACTTAGTAAAGTGGCTTCACACACAACTAAGGTATTTTCCTGATGTTGGGCTTTAAAGGTAATAGCACAGTTACTGTTACGAGATTGTTTTATCGATTTAATTGAAGGAAGGTTTTACTGCATCGAACAATATTTATTGTGTTTATTCAGTGTCTGAGCACAATTCCGCGCGCACCGTCTGTTAAAACTTGGTAGTGTTTTTGGTTGCTGTGTTCTGTAAATTGAAATTGAAATGAACACACCTGTATCGGAGACAGATTGACTGATTGATTGTCCATTATACAACACAAAGTACATACGTCGTTATTGTTGCTGGAAACGTCCTGATTGCTTTGCGAGGGGACGCGCAGCAGGCTGGGACGTTTCGAGATCGAAGACAGCTCGACGTCTTCGTCGGTTTTGGCGCGTTGAGCGAACTCGCTTATGCAGAACGAACTTGTGCGAGATATGTCGCGGGTGCTTGGAGCGCTGGAAGTTTGCTGGAAAAAACGCCGTTTTGTTCTCGACTGTGCAACGTGCTATTATACTCACATTTTGCCTAATCCTTGGACAATTCAGATGGTGTCTCTTCGGAATGTTCAGCCTTATAGTCTCCCCTCCTGACGCCATTTTCTTATCCCTTCTCTGGTCCCTCCTCACCCTATATAACCTAAAAAAGTTAATTAAAACAATCGAAAAATCGCTAAATGTGTTTCAGTAATGTTGTAGAATATATTCTTGTGTTTTGTGTGCTCTAAATTATTATAAATATAGTTACCTGATTTTCTTCAGCATTTTCCGTTTGTTTCTCCTCCACAGATGCGCTATGTACTTGACGATCTCCGCGTAGCAGCTTGTAGGCTCGCTGTTGTTCGTGGACGAGGCCAACGTGGAACTCGACTGGAATCGAGCGCGTTCGAGGCGCATTCGTTCCATCTCGCGCTTCTTCGTTTCGCTGAACTGCGTCGCTATGACGACCAGACACAAGTTGATCATGAAAAAGGACCCAATCTGTAAAACAAACGTTGCAACGTTATGTGAAATATAAAAATTACAAAAATAATTTTGGTATTTTGCAGCGACTTGGTTGTGAGAATTCAATTCAATGAAGGATGCATTTTGTAAAGGTTGGTTTTGCCTCAGTGCGCAAGATGGCCAAAAGCCTTAATGGTCTCGGTTTCAATGTACCATTTTGATCAGCAACAAGTTTTATCGTCCATGCGTTTCACGAAGCCATCCACCCATAGACACGTGAAATTTCCCATCTATATTTCATAATTTTCATTGAGCGATCCGAACACTAGCACTAACAAAACCCAACTTGTTCATGTGACTTATCTCTAGATTGAGTAATCCTTGGACATTGCGAGTTGTTGATAGTTGGTTTCTGGTTGGTTTTTGACAGTGGCAGTGGCAGTTCTATATGCAGGGTTATGCTATGTGTTTTTTTATGATTTACCTACTTTAAAAACTAAATTATGGTGGTCCAAATAAATCAAACCAAATATCCCTAGATAATCACTTATGTTGCCGGATCTTCTAGACAAGAATGACAGATTGATAATTTTAGTCTTAGCAACTTTAATAATTTTTTATTGGCAAAGCAGATAGACAAAGTTGGAATAATTTAATTTGGGTCCGCTCACAAACATTGGAATTTATAGTAACGAAAATAGTTTTGAACAAAGCAAAATCGATAATATTATTGTCATAATTTAGGAAATTCCTTGGAGTTTCCGCATTGTTTTTTGTTTGTTGTCGCCGCCGTATTATGGACTGAGTGGAAAAAGAAGGCGGAAATGATAAAAGTCAATCGATGTGGAAAGGGCATCGGACAAAATCCACAAAAGTCTGCTAAGGTCAGGAAGTAACGGCGGTATTTAGTCCGGATGGTATAGGGTGACTGAATAATAATTGTATTCCACTGCTAATATACAGGGCGGTCTGGAACCATAAGAAGTCATGATTTTATTAAAAAAATCATTAAAATTTTTAAAAGTAAAGTAGAATTTTTGGGCCGTCACTGGTTGTTTCTGACCTATGAAAACTGACACAAAGTATGCTTGCACAGTGGGCAATAATCTACATTCAATAAAGATTTACATTTGTGTTATCATTGATTACATTGTTGATAATTGTTTTTTGCTCCGCATACTCAGCTATTTTTAGGTAAACAATACTAACTTTTTATTGTTAATCTCGAGGTTTCCAAGGTTTTCCCGTTGATTTTAAATTTCACCTTTCACTTTTTACGTCGATTGATGCTCATGTAGCTATTTTTTTAAGTGTTCCACAAAATCATAATAAATGTTCAACTATCCCGCCGTTATTATCCACACAAAGATGACAGCGGCCTAGAAAATTATGATTTGTCGCTCTTGCTATCATATCCGGATGAATTCGGATTTAATCTGCCGCTGCAGTGACAAGTTCGCGGAGTTGTTCTAAAGTGTCAACTTCGCTCTAGTACACTAAACTGTTCATGTAGCCCCAGAGAAACCACAATTACAACCGAAATGTCAGTATGTGCGCAAATCTGTTTTTTTTGCTTGGATGAATAATATCATTGTTTTTATAGGTAAAACGTGTGTCCCTGTATAATGCAAGAGTGTTTCGGTGGAGTTTTTCCCCTTTGTCGCTTGTTAAACGTAAAAACATATCGATCAGTTCATAAAAACATGAAATATGAACCCAAATGCTTTTATTAAATGTGTTTCTTTATATTTTTATAAACGTCCAGTCCATCCTGCGTATTTTATTTATGATACTTTGGTTTTGTATTTAATAAACCTTACTATTTGATGTCAAAAAATGTTTCTCGATTTTTAAAAGACAGTTAGTATGTGGAAATATTTTTCATTTAAAAAATGGCAGAAAAACACATAAAGAAGACATAATAGGCGATTCTAAAAATAGGAAAAAGCTTACCACAATGAGCAGGACAAAGTAAATCCAATCCCAGAAACTGTGGGCGTCTTGGACATAATACATTATTTCCGTCCAGCCTTCCAAAGATATTACCTAAAATAATTTTTTATTTCACGCACATTTCTATTTCTATTATTTGATTTAAAACAAATTTAAAAAAATGGCGGAGGTGCCGGGAGTTTAAAATCATTAACATCAATCTCAAACAAATATTAGAAATATCCCCAACACCAAAGGGTCAGAATTTCTCAAACGGGCCACCTGAATTAGGTCAAAATTAGTTTTTGTTTGTAGATACATTTTTTTGATAGTATTTTACATCACTAACACAAATCCTAAAGGATTTTGTAAAAAAAAAATTTTCAATTGACATATTCATGATATTAAAAGTCAAAGTTTTTAATAATTAAAAAATAAAAAAATTCATTATGGCTGAACTAATTATCCGATTCCAACGATATAACTAGCGTTGGAATCTTGTTTTGACATAGATTCTTTGTTATTTTTTTCAATTGTCCTATTTTCATTTAGGTCGATTTTTTTTTGTTTTTTTTTATACCAAATTCGGAAATAATTGCCTTCTGCGCCAGCTATCGACTCGAGAAAAAAAAACACATATACTCCAATCATTTCTCGAAATTATGCTGCTGAGAAAAAAAATGGCCCGCAGGTTGACAAAAAGTTATTCGTCCTTTTGTGGCCGCGCGCGGTGTCAGCTCACGCTCCGAACCGTGTACGCTGTACGCGCTTGTGACGCGACGTCTTACGGTGGTCTGGAACCTGCGGGCCATTTTTTTTCTCAGCAGCATAATTTCGAAAAATGATTGGAGTATATGTGTTTTTTTTTCGAGTCGATAGCTGGCGCAGAAGCCAATTATTTCCGAATTTGTTATAAAAAAAACAAAAAAAAATCGACCTAAATGAAAATTGTACAATTGAAAAAAATAACAAAGAATCTATGTCAAAACAAGATTCCAACGCTAGTTAAATCGTTGGAATCGGATAATTAGTTTAGCCATAATGATTTTTTTTTATTTTTTAATTACTAAAAACTTTTACTTTTAATATCATGAATATGTCAATTGAAATTTTTTTTTTTACAAAATCCTTTAGGATTTGTGTTAGTGATGTAAAATACTATCGAAAAAATGTATCTACAATCAAAAACTAATTTTGACCTAATTCAGGTGGCCCGTTTGAGAAATTCTGACCCCAAAACAAAACACAGTGCTTAAAGTACTTAACGGACCGGTACCTAACTCTAGGTTGTATACATTAGGTCCACCGTTTAGTACACTGTGTCCGTTCACGATTCAGTCAACCTTACCTTATAATTAGTATAAATATGGTAGATTTAGCAGTTAGATGTAGTTTCACTTCGCTTCTGAAGATGCCAACATCGTTGGCGAAAAGTACTTTAAGCACTTTGTGTTTTGTTTTGGTGTTGGGGAATATTTATTATATATTTGTTTAACATATCACCAAAGTTGTAATTTTTCAAGTAAAATCAATCTCACCAAAAATATAGACACCCATGCCATTCCAATGTTATCGAACGATATAGTATTCTGAAAGGGATTCTTATTGCCATCGTTGCACAAAGAATAATATATGTTCCAATTGATACAAGCGGTATCGTTGCTCGCGAACTCCGGCCTCAACTTCTCCTCCACCGTCAGGTTGCACTGCACGTTGCCTATCCTGTAAGGCGGCAAGTCTTGACACGTGTGCATCCCCGAATGTTCAGCCTTGCTGCAGATATAGTCGGTATCTGCAGGTTTGTAGTAGTTGTCCAAAGCCCTAGTAAAAGAGGAAATGTTTTAGGGTGTTTTGTTTATGGCAGTGGGTACATATATGACCATTTTATTGTTTAGAGAAGTTAGTAGTATACAGGGTGTTTGGAAGGGTGTTACATACAAATATTGCGCAGGGCCAAACACCCTGTATTTAAGAGTTATTAAAATGGTCAGGTATATATTCACTGTAGTTTTGTTCTACTTAAAGTTGAGCAGTCAAAGTTTAAGTCATGTTTTATTTACAATTTCGTGTATGAAAATGTGATGTTTGAATTAAAATAAATGAAAGATTTGTAATATAATGTTCAACAAGTCTTTTTCTTTTAATTTTAATTAATGGGAGTTGGTAGGTATTATGTATTTTAAGATTTTAATATTTCATTAGAACGAGGTATAAATGGTTTTAAATCTTATATAAACGCTCATTATAATGAGCGTTTATATAAGATTTAAAACCATTTATAATTATCGTACATGTTTCCATGACTCTAAGTGATCTTTTAAATACACATTGACAAGCTGACAGGTTTTTAGTCACGGCCTGAAGTTAGCTTTAAGTTAGTTGACAGTTGTCAAATGTCATATAATCGGTAAAATAAAGTTTCCTTCTTTGTGAAATAATACTAAATGTGAACATTATTTTATTATCTCAATACAAAGTATTAAATAGCTTCTTGACGACAATATTTGAAAAGATTATATGAACGTTGACCTTTTAATTTCGCCTTAGTAGTTCACTTTTACTGTGAAAAACTGCTTCTATCTCGTCTATTTTCAAGGGATAAATTTTGATTTACACAGAAAAATTTGACAATTTAACGCCGGTAAATTCTTAAGTTCGAATCATCTTTGTTCCTTAACATTTCCCATGTAAGAATTTTTAATACTTTGTAATAATATTTTGCAATTATAGTAATACAAAAAACAAAAGATAAAATATTTTCTTAAAATAATCATATTTTGAAGTTATTTTAATATTTTAAAGTATCAATAATGTTGTTGTTTCTTTATATTTTCAGTGTGTCAATATATAATTAAATTTAAAAAATATCGTTTATATTAACTTTTTGACAAGAAACCACATTTTTTTAAATTTGCAATGACGGCATTAAAAAACAACTTTTTTAATTACAATAATTTAATTCCAATTAACAACTCGCTTTGGCCAACTGCGATAAAATCTGAAAATTGTCCTCGCCCGGCAAAAGGAGCAGGCACTAATTTAATTGAGAAATAAATTAATTCTCCAAAAAAGTTTTCATTTATCGAGTTACACAAAAATTGGATTTTACAGTGAATGGACCAGAAAATTACGTTTTTGCTGTTCAAATTGTCAAACAGTTTATTAATTAGTACAAGGAATGTTAGTTTTTATTTGCGCCAGTAAAGTAGGATATATGGGTCATTCCACTTGGTTTTAACAATAAAACATCCCCCGTTTTATTTTTGGAACCTGTAGGTAAGGAATCGGAAATTTTAGTATGTTAAACTAGACATTAAATAAACATTATGACCTAAACAATTTTTGAAAAAGTTTTATATTACTTTTTGAGTGCCAAGATTTTAAATTGTATTCAACGCATATCTAAAATTTGTCCAATGGTTGCTAATACATATATTAAACTTTTAATTCAAATTAATTATTTTTTTTATATTATTTATTTAATTGGCTTTAATCATATGATTACACTGTGCAAAAATTCTCGGGTCATCGAAATCAAACCGCATAGGACTATTTTTTCTGAAAATATACCTATCCAATATCAAAACCCTCGCTGGGTTTGTAAAAGTTATTATTTTTTTCTATGGCCGTTTTTATTTTCGAGCTTCATATACCCCAATTTAGACTTATTTTGCATATATTTGATTTATATCGTCAAGATTTATTGTAGAAATGTAGTTAATAAACAAATAAACCCATTTTGTTAACAATCTATATTTTGGGACCAAACATTCAAAAAATTACATTTTTTTTCAATTATCCTATAAGATTTAAAATTTCTTGCTACTTCTTCTGGCAAAAATGTTGTAAAATGTACTAGAAGAAGTAATTTATAAAATATTGAACTGAACTTTAAGTTTGCTTATTTGCTGAAAAAAAATGTTTGAACAAGATTTTCCAAAATATTCATCTTTTCACACAAATTTTTCGGCAAAATCTTTGGATAATCTGTGGGAAAAATTTAATAGTTAAAATAGAATTGTAGAAAAGAATAGAGAATTTGATTTTTTTGTATTAATTTTATTATTAAAAAAATTTTTCATATAAAAACATTGAGTAATCTGATTCATTCGTGAAAAATGTCATCCCTTCCACTTCTTCTCCTTTATTTCCTTGTTCTTTATTTTCATTTTTAGATTCATCTTTGGAGAATTCCACCCCTTCTACTAGTGATGCCGCGAGACGAGACGAGGCGAGAAAAGTCCTTCTCTCGTCTCGTCTCGTTTCCCTCGTGGTAAAAGTAGCTATGTATGAATACAAAAATTATTTGGAATGAAATACGAATTCGTTTATATTTTTTTCTATGGAAATTTAAACTGGAAATAAAAAAAGGGGTGCCAAGACCACACTGATAAAGTAAGACTTTTTACGCCGAAAATTTCGAGCATTTGATGTCCGTTATTTTGAACCCACAATTTTGTTTTAATCAAAGGCCCCATAAATATCTAAATACTAAATTTTACCCAAATCATTAAAGCCGAACGACAATTTTTCGTCATATTAGATCAGCCCTTTTAAAAAAAAATATCAAATTTGTAATCAGCCCCTCAAAAACCACATCTTGTTGATAAGTTTATTGAATAAGCATACGGTTTTTTTAATAGTATAAGGAGTGTCATAGATGTGCTTATACAGGGTAAATTTTAAAAATTATTATTATTATTTTATAAGTATTTCTTTCTTGGTCAACTTTAAGTTGTTTTATAAAATAATACAACGTTAACCAGAAACAAATTTTGTTTATTATGAAATGCGAATAATGTTCTCATTGGTCCATTTAATTTGGCCAGAAGAACGTTTTGACGATCTCCGAATTAGCAAGATTTGAAATTTGGAGGTCGAGAATCTTAAAATCGATTTAATATTTTGAGAAAATCGCAAACATTTGAAATAATCGAGAGAACGAGAGAGATCGAGAGAAACGAGAAATTCTCGAGCAAGAGAGGGCATTTTCTCGTCTCGTCTTGAGCCTTTTTTGTGAGAAAATTTTTCTTCATTTTCTTCCTGATCGTAGTAAAAAATATGCTTACTTCACCAACATGTTTCGGCTAGTATGGCATCTGGAGCTCGGTGTCCTCTGTATCTGGACTCAAATGGCATCGCAATTTGATGATAACGCTCTCCCTGCTCATCTGATTCTGTCGATAACTGTCGACTGAAGTAGTACAAATGGCGATGAAGGAAATGAAATTTTAGCGACATATTGACTCCAATTTTGGAAAAAGCATCCAACATTCGTCGCACAGATCCTTCATAAGGAGAACGATATTTGCCTAAAAGTTTAACGATGATTTCTGTCCAGACTGTACCAATTTCCGAATAACAGGACCATTTAAAACGCCTGAAATGAAATGAATATGAAAAATATATGAAATACTGATTGAAAATATATGAAATTGTTGCAATATTTTTTATTGTGGGTTTTGACAATGTTGATTTTGACGAAATGAAAAGTTACAGGCCAAGACAAAGCCGTAATCGTTTTGTCGAAATCGGCATTTTCAAAATGTGTAATATTCTATTTTATTTTTAATTTATCTAAAAATTTACATCAAAATATATTGCAACGATTTCATATATTTTCAATAAATATTTATTATATTTTTCATATTCATTAAATTTCAGACGTTTTAAATGGCACGGATATTCGGTGATTGGTCTGAAGACTTTGACAGGGCCTTGGTTGACAATGAGATAGTTGCGTGGGCGTCGATAAGAAAAATCATTGTTGGAATGTTGGATGCTTTTTCCAAAATTGGAGTAAATATGACGCTAAAACTTCATTTCCTTTATCGCCTTTTGGACTACTTCAGGCGACAGTTATCGACAGAATCAGATGAGCAGGGAGAGCGTTATCATCAAACTGAGATGCCATTTGAGTCCAGATACAAAGGAAATCGAGCTACAGATGCCATACTAGCCTAAACATATTTTTGACTACATCCAGGAAGAAAATGAAAATGAAAAACAAAAAAATAAAGGGGAAAAAGTGGAAGGGATAGAATTCCCCAGTGATAAATAAAGAAATTTTAAATATTATCGAAAAATTTAATTTGGTCCCAAAAATTGGGTTTTGGGATATAGGTTATTCAAAAATTGGGTTTATTTGTTCAGTAAGTACAATTGTACAAAAAAAGTCTAAATTGGGGCATACGAAAATACAAACAGCCATAAAAAAATTCGAGCTAAGTTTTACAAATCCAGCAAGGGTTTTGCTATTGGATAGGTATATTTTCAGAAAAAAATAGTCCGGTACGGTTTGATTTTTGGTGTTGCACAGTGTTATACAGACAAATTAATTATCAAATCAAATTTTTGTTTTCATTTATTAGGTACAAGGTTTTCATTTATTAGGCACAATAAATTTCCAATTAGTCATGAAATTAGATGTTCGAAATGCTCCCCTTGGACATTTTGACAAAAAATAGTGTGTTTCTAATTTTAGTTCGTACATTTGCAAAGTTTCTTGTGTAATATTTGCCTTCACGTCTAATCCATTGTTTTAGATCATTAATTGATTCCATTACGGTGATGTAGACCTTCGATTTTAAATAACCCCAAAAAAAATCAAATAACGTTAAATCAGGAGACGGAGCCGGCCACACCTACCAATTCAACTATTTTGATGAGTCTCATCAAGCCACTGTCTAACATATCTAAAATAATGTATCTATCTTGTTGGAATATTACTTCCATTTCAAACTCGTCAGAATTAGCTTGAACAATATCTTGAATCATTGAATGAATTTGTGTTTGAAGCAAAAATTCCTTTCAAAAAGATG